TCAAGTGTTTGAGTCTTCTTTTAAGTCCTGCCGACTTAGAACCAAGTTCAACGTTGTATGTCCTTCTCTTTTGCAGATTGCACAAACCGCTAGTGGAATCCCATATCCTTGCTTTTTAGGCTCTAGACAACTGCTAGCATAATGTTTCAACTTACTACAGTTATAACACAGTACCAAACTCAATGTAGAAGCTGCTCCGGCACGTGAATTTGATTTCCAGGTCGAGCTAAGGATATTGTTGGTCGTTGAGGCAGGTTGTGAGGCCCGGCAGAAATCTAATACACCAGATTTGATGCTTCTTCATGAAAAAACTCCACAGGTTCACCTAACGACAAACCATATTGATTAACCAGTTCTTCATCCACCATCTGAACTTGTGGATGTCAAGTAGAACATTCAATAGATGCATGGCCTAGCTATTTACAGTGTACACATCAAACATGCGTCCAATTGATTGATATTTTCCTACGATTGAAAGTCAATCCAGCAAAGTGAAATGAGAGAGCTTTGAGTTGGTTAGCAAGGTTGTCCATCTTGCCATTTAGACCCTTCTTCTTTTTGTTAATCAACTCACCACCTGGTGGAAACCTTTTTGGAGCTTTTGTCTTCCTTGCTGAATGCAGATTTGCTCTTCTTCGTGGAGTGCTTCTTCTTCTTTCACTTGTCAAACCTTTATCTGAGCTTGAAAAAGCTTGTCTAGTTCTAAAGCTCATTCTAAAAGCTAGAGCTTGATTTTGAGCTAGAGCTAGGATCATTGTACTCTGAGCTAGACTCATATCAATTTTACTTTGAGCTTGATTGATACTTCTTCTTCTTTCTACGGCTCTTAGAATTAGAAACATCGACACTTCTATAGGACATGGTAGATTCCACATCCTCCTTCAAGGTGGTAGAGTTAGCTTGTCGGACAAAAATATCCATCTTTTGAGGCAAGGAAGAAACAAACCATGACATGGACATGGAATTTACTGGTGGAATATCAATCTTCTTTGCCACCCGCTAGAACTTCGGCAAAAATCTGCGAACACTTTCTTCTCTCTTCATTTCCATTTGGCCATTCTTAGTAAGTGTCTCCGTCTTCTCTCACCGACCTAAATTTGAGCAAGAAAGCAGCTTTAAACAATTCTCAATCAGCTTTGATGTTAGCTGCCAACGCATTGTACCAAGGTCTCGCTTCTCCTCTTAACACTCCAGCCAATGTATAAAGCTTGATAGCATCTTCTCCATTAGCCTGAGCAATATCAATAAAATATTCTATCCACTCATCAAGGACTTGCTTCCTCTTACCCAAGAAAGGATGATACTGAAATCCCGCTCTTTACATGATCACCATGTCTTCTCTTGGCTGCAATGTCTTCGTCTCACTAAGTTCTTCTTTCGCTCAAAGAGATTCTTCTCTCGAGCCTTGCAAACAACTATCTTAAATATGTTGGTTGCTAAAATCTTGAATCACCTCCCTATTTTCTTGTAGCTCCCTTTCCACGTGAAGGTACACAAATAAATGTCGTTAACTCACAGTTGGAGGCATGTCCCTATAGTACCATGAAGTACTATCTTCTCCTCAGGCTAGAAATTTCAATCAATCGAAGATGTAACTTGCATAACTTTGATAAGATTGTTCCACGGCAGTGGCGACAGAAAAAAACAGGTCCACATTATGTCAAGAACTTGTTTCGAAGTATCAACACCAATAACACTCTATCTAATGGTAGTTACTGTGTCATATAGCCGGATTCACTAGAACGATGCTATGAGGTAATAAAACACTTGAAATGAATACATACTTTTATCATACAGACATTTGATTGGTATATTCTTTAATTCAAAATATAATACGTGATAATAATGTTTACCTTGTAAAGATAAACTATACATTCAATAGACTTCATTCATTTTGTAAACTTTAGAGTTTACAAATGTATATGATATCTTGCGGTATTGAAGAGTATTTAGGGTATATTGATTAGTTTATATATTACATTTCATTTTTTCCAAATATATTTAATATTCATAATTTTTATTATTTTAGAAATATTATTATTTATTATTATTAAATTATGAAAATCATATAATGATATAATACTTCACAAATGAAAAATCTTTGACGATTATTTTATCATATATTTATACTTAGAATGAATATGATAATATGAATTTTTATGAAATATAAAATTAAAAAAGAAAATGAGTAACTTAACTTCAACGTTCTAATATTTCAAAATTCACTATCATCTTAAATTTACTAAATCAACTATAATATATTTTTGTCAAAATTATCATTGTATATTATGGACATAACATGTATTTTTTGCATTTGAAAAGAAGATATTTTTACTTCTAAATCAGGCAAGGGTATTCAAATATGTACAAAGTAGTTTTTGATACGTATTTTATTTCAAGAAAAGTCATTTTTATTTGTTTGAAAAAAATATTTCTAACCCAATACAAAATTATCTTTGTATGCCAAAAGAATTATTTTTCATTTTTATTTTTTAAAACATCAAAAATTAAAAATTCTTTCCATGTGAGAATTAGTAACATCTTAATGTAAAGTGCTCATTTATACATTTATAAAGTATTTTAACATTTTTAAATGTGATTAACAACATATTATATTGATTAAACATTTGAAGGTATGTTTGATATATTTATTTCATGTGATAATATGTTTATTCCATTATGTTTATCTCATTTAATAAACCTTGCACTAATAAGATAATTTTAATTAAATTTCTTTTGTTTTTTTGAAATAACTTTTTCTTTATTTTGATATATTTTTGTATTAGATGCCTCTATACCATCTTATGAACAAGGTATTTAAGATTTTTGAAATTATGATTATTAAAATTTGTGACGATGATGCAAATCCATGAGATTTGAACATGTATAGATAAAAGCTTATTAAAATATATATGGCTAATATGATGAGTGTTATACATATATTCAATACTGTTTCAATCAAAAATTTTATTTAGCCATTAGTTGGACCAACAAATAAAGTTCAATTTGAAAACTAGATTACAGAATCTCATATTGGTATTTTGATTATTTCATATTATTTTTTATTTGTTAAAAAGAATATACTGAAAATTTGCTTCCAAAAATGATTTATTAAATTACTAAAGATGAACTTTTGAAAATGAGATTTATGTATATCTTTGAAAATTGCACACTAGATGATGGAAATTGATAATTTAATGTATACTTCTTACAATCTCAGACATTGTTCTTTCAACTTTAAAAACAAATTTCTAGTTATAAAGCATCACTGCATCTATTCATGCAAATTATCAATTAATTATTCACTTCAAGTTGATTAGTTTTGCTTTATTTTCATCATGAAAATACTCTAGATTAGTTTCAACTAACTTAAATTTTTACATCATATTTTTTATTTATGCTATTGACAGCAATAAAAATGCATGATTCAATATTTTTATGATGTCATTATTGAAATTTATATCTGATAATTTAGTATGTTTTTCCAATGCATGTATTTTTTTTAAGTATGGTAAAATTTTGTAAATTCATTCATCTTTGAACACAACATATAACATATTGTGGATGAAATTTGATTTATAGCTATTTATGATATTGTTAATTACATGATATTTGAAATAAATTTTCTATAATGGAGGTAATATTGATTGCAATTAACTAGATTTGATAGTGCATGAAAGAATATGTTATAGGGATATTAAAAGAAATGTTATGACTACACATCACTACGAGTAAAAGTTTAGAAAATTGATAAAAGAGAATTGATTTTAAAGTTTTAAAGCTAGGTATTCTACTATTTGGTACATTAACTGGTAAGCTTTGTGTAACAATAAACATCACAGTCAGCATATAATTTGAAAGCTTCAAAAAGATACCAGGTTAGATAGACTGATCATTCATTTTAATATGTCAGGTGTACATGTTTACATTGTTTAATTAAAATAAATATTTGTTACAAATCAAGATACTTACAATGTATGATGGATTGTACATATTGCAATGATTGTCAGAAACTACTTGACGTAGATATTTATCTAAGATGTATCATTCGTAAAACAATCTAATCAACACGGTGATGTTTTGCATTGAATCCATTTCACTACTTTCATTTAATTCAAGTCTGACTTGATGTTATCTTTCCTTTTGTTTTGTCATTGCATGACTATTTTCTTAGTTTTCAATTCATTAACCATCGTGTCTATGTACAACATTTTTAGAAAATTGTAACTTCAATTTGATTCAATTTAGTTCATTGTGGTGGTAATTGTACAATTTGTACACATTATCTAAAGCTTAAAGTAGATACCGATACAACTATAAGGTATATACAGTTCAATTTTCATATGCTCCTAGGAGCAAAAGATCAAATCTAAAAGTCCAAGTTGCACGACATGTAACTCTGTGGAACCTGCGAATGATTACTGCATTAGACTATTCGATATATATCTGACTGACTAGCCTAATTTGTAGTTTACCGTAAAGCATTGAAGTATTTTCATTTTTCTAGAGAGATCACTAGCAAGCTCAGAAGGTGTAAATTCTACCATAAATTTATGTTCTCAATGGTTTCAATGAAATGTTTCATTAAGGCTTGACATATATTCCCATAGTTTCGTAAGTCATGTGGCCGCCGAGGACATTTAGTATAGGCGAGACATGAAAGAAAGTGCGTGCTGCCGGTAGCTCCTGTGATTCGCCTTCTCTAATAAATATATTTCAAATATTTTTTTAAAAAAGAAGGAAACAAAAGAAAAAAGAAGGAAAAAAAAAGAAAAAAAAGGAAAAAAAAAAAAGAAAAAAGAAAAGAAAGTGCTGAAAAGTGCAAGTCGAGTTTAGTAACCGGTTACCGGACGCGCTTCTGAAAGCGGCGGAGGTGGAGGTGGAGGGGAGCGCGGTCAGCGGCGGTGCAGCGCCGGGCAGGACAGCGAGAGGATGGATGGTTGGGAAGAGCTCTGTAGAGACGAGAAACTGCTTCTGTAACGAAACCTGAGGCCGGGCTCGAAGTCATGACAAGCGATGGCGCCGAGAAACGACAGAGACGACGAAGAAGCGCAAGAGCCCGCGGCCGGGGCAGCACAAGGGTCCACGGAATCTCGCGAGAAACTTCACCACGAGCTGTCAGCTGTGGCATCACACTCCCGTGTAACAGCTGCCGTCAAGATTCGGTTGAACCGAGGAGTCACGCTCGCAGGGAATTGTTGTCGAGCAGGCGGAGCTCGAAATTGGGGCCTCTGGACTCGATTCGATGATGGTGGTGGTGGCAGTGGTGCGTCGGAATCTTGTGGGCAAGTGGGGACTCGCTCTGCACTGTGCTTCATCATGCCCGTCTCCCCGAAGTGATTGAAAGGGGTGGGTGCATTCGCCGCAGAAGCTTCTGGTCCGTGGGTGGTGTCGGTGTTGTTCCGCCTCCTGGAAGTTGAGGAGGCCAGGCATCGCAAGGCGGGGCAAGGGCGAGGGCGAGGATAAGCTTTGCTTTGCAGGGCGTGCATGTGATGCGGGTCTCACTCGCGTCTGACGATTGATGCCTGTTTGAAGCTCTCGAAGCTGAATCTGTCCTTCTCCTCCACATTTCGTTTTGGGCGAGCAGTCAACAAAAAAATTTGAGCATTGGGTCTCACAAGAATGGCGTCGACTCGTTTTGGTCTCGAGGCCTGCTTCTCGCCGCTGTCGCTGTCGGGGAGGAAACGGATTGGTGTAGACAGAGTGGACTGCCAGGGGAAGGTTGCCATCAAATGTTCGTCATTCCGGATAGCGAAGCGCAATTCGTGGAATTTGGAAGCAAGCAAATTGGGATCAGTGCATTCTGCAAATTGGCTAGCTGGTAAAAAAGTGAGCCTCTGGAGCAGAAAGGATGATTGGTCTCGAGCAGCTGGCGGGGCTTCCTCGCAAGTGACGAGTGTGGAGCTAGGAGAATCTCGCAGATCCAGCTCTGGTGTGAAAAAAATCATCCCCAAGATATTGCCGGAGCCGAATAAGGTTGTGTTGGAAGCTTTGGGACGGGTGTGTACAGGGCCGCTTCAAACCAGACCTTTGGAGGAAGATCAAGCATTCCTTACGCTTCATACCATTCTGCAGTCAGGTAATCTGTGACGGTTTTCTCATACCGACGACTACCAAAATTGTTTGAGAATGGGGAGAATTGCATCTACGTAGGGCTCCGAGGATGATGTCTACACTCGTAGAGTTGTTCAAAAGGAAGTTAGCAGTGCAAGTATTCGTCGATAAGAGCCGGGGATGCAGGGTTTGGAACAATAATTCGCTCTTGGGTCATGGTGAATCACACATCGTTAACATGCTAATCAGTTCTCCTTTCCTTATGCAGTAAAGGGTGAATTGCCAGAAGAGGAACGTCCAGTTTCCGCAGCACAAATGGGTGCGTTTTTTGGTGCCATGACGCTGCGCGCAAATTCTTTTCCGGCACCCACGCAATGGAGTGAGGGCGAAAGAAAGGCCTTGAACGAGTTATGGCCGTCATTAGTACAACATCTTCCTGAAGATGTTCTATTTCTAGCCGACCCCGAGGGCACGATATTTGGAGAGGTTAGTTCTAAGGGGCCGAGATTTCAAGGTCGAGGGCCTGCTGAAACGAGATTGGTGGGCGCTTTGAGAGAAGTGCTAATGGGCGGGCATTTGGGTTTTGAAGAGGTACTTGGTCTTCTCAGAGATATTCTTCCTCTCAAGAGGTATGATGCGGGAGCGGACGGAGTATCTCATGCGTTGGTTGGAGCATTTTTGATCGTTCAGAGGATGAACAAAGAGACTGATCGAGAGCTGAAGGCTTATTGCATGGCCTTCGACGAAGAGTTGGGTGGGCAACAAACTGCTTACTCGCATTTACCATGTTCCCATTGCTCCTTTCCAGTTGATTGCGGTTGTATATTTTCTTTTACAGTTTTCGTTGCTCTTCAGTTAAAATGTATGAGATGAGAGGTAGTCCTTTTCTCTGTGTATAGTCCTCCTACGGTTTTTCTTTCAAATTGCCTGGTTAACTCCTCTTTGGCGTCTTCTCAAGTTTCAGTCTCTTACACGACGTGTGATGTTACAGTCTGTGTTATCAGACCTCGATATTATATTTAGAAACCTCTGTAGAGAACTTGACATCGCGTCAAGCTGCAAGTTGTAAAAGTATTGTTTTCGCATGAGATCTTTACGGCTGAGCGAGTGAAGACGAATGTGTTAGAGACGAATGAAGTCTTAAAACTTTCTCTTCTTGTGCATATATTTTGCAGGTCCTGCACCCGTAGCTAATGTGAAGTCCTTGACACATTACGGTGAGCCATATGATGGTAACACTAGATTTTTCCGGAGCACTCTTTTCGTAGCAGCAGTGCGTGCAAGTTATGGAGAGTCCTGCCTTCTTCATGGCATCGATTACATGCCTCCAAAGGTGAGCTTAGATGTGTAGAAGACTTCCAGTAAAGGTCATCAGAGTTGTATAGGTAGGTTTCATCGCAGTCAAAGGACAACTCTCATCGCCAAATTTCGATTTACAACGCCAGTTGAAGGTCTAGTTCATTTTCAAAAGAGAGGACTTGAAACTGCTGAACGTGAAGCTTGTGAATTTCTTACAATCCGTGATCCTGACTTCAGGGTGGCGTAACAGAAGAGCAGATGCTCAAGCATTTAGGTGGAGCCACTAATCTGATGCCTAAACAAGCAGCTAAGCTAATTGAGGTAAAATATGAACTTGGTGCTCAATGATGTTTCCATAACATACATACGCCCATCACTCTCGTCGCTGGTTTGCATAATTCTTGGCATTAAGTTTAGGGCCTCGTGCGTGTTTCAAAGCAGATCTGGCCACTATCTTGAGGCTCAAAGCAGAGATTTAGCACAGAATGTATCACCGGAATGTATCACCAGAATGTGATCCGTGCGGAGGTCTACGTGATCTTGAACTGATCGTAGATTGTTGTATATTAGATATCTGCATTGCCGAATACGACGAAAATACATCGAGGTTTTTGTTAATAGTCTTCCCCTATCTCTTGTTCACAGGATCAAAAGGTTGGGTTCGCGTACTTGAGTCAGCGTGAAGCACAACCTTCGTTGTAAGTGCTCAATTAAACACATAGGTACATGTCCAAGTTCAAGTTTGAAATTCATATGCCCAAGGAACGAAGTCACTGACTTCATGCTTTGATAGAATGCTGTGAATCATCAGTTTCTCTCTGATTGATTTACCTTTCATGTTTTGATAGCATGGTATGAAACTTCAGGTACTCTCTGATCGATCTACGGAAGCACATAAAGAAGAGACCGACATTCGCTACAACGGAGAAAGTTCAACACTACATCAGGGTACCGACCAATCGTCTTTGTGTAGTGTTGTAGACGGCCCAGTGTGTGAGTTCAAATATGTATGAACAGCCATCGAAGCAAATTGTCCAGAGTTGTTGATTCTTCCATCATGCAACTCATGTCGACCAGTTATTACTTTGCACAGGCAACTGGCAGGGAAGCCATGATGGCCGGCTTTTACCACGAGGGTTACGAAGACCCTCTTTTGATGCTTATACGCAGACGAAAGGTTGATGCAGGTCTTGTGATCAAGGTACGGTTTGTGTTTCCATGCGATTCAAACACAATTTTCGTGGAAATCTTAAAAGATCGGTTTGAGTTACATAGTCTTTAGGATGTCTGGGACTTCAATTGGCCAAAAATATGTACATGGAGCTACGCACTTCGCCTTGAAATTCAGTACAATGCCGAGTGTTCTTTCTAGAAATTTACGCTGTGAGCTCATGCCCATCTGTGGGCATCATGCCTACAGATGCTCATAACTAGATTTAGATGCGCATAGCATGGTATGAAAAAGTTTGATCAAGATGGTTGGTTGAGGTACTGAGTTATCACTTACACTTGCAGGGTGAGGAAGGGGCCTTGTCGCTTACAACAAAGACACGTTCACCTGATGCCTCAATCAAGGGTCGACCAGTAAATTATTGTACAGGTTTCCGACCAGTGAAGGGTTCACTTATTGCTGAAAATGACGATGGTGAGTTATTGTGGTCTTCACTCAAATATTGCTTCTAAGATAGAAGAGAGTTTTACCTTTGAGACTGTTTCATACTTCTTACAACCGGCTTTTGCTACAGAGTATGTGTTTGTAGCATATTCTCTAGCAAATCCCAAAATGAGGTGGATACCGTGTTTCTCGATGTTTCTTCGGTTCTTCTAAGCCTGTTCAGTTATCGTTTGGCGGAATCAGGTCTTTCACGAGAACCCTTCAGCACGGAAATACAGGCCATTGACTACGGATTTGAACCTACCCTCACACCAAGGACGGATCGATCGGTAAGTGCCGTACCAGAGTTTTGGCACTTGTTTCCTGTTTAAACGGTTGTTTTAGTTTTATCAGGTTGTAGCTGAGAAAGTACATGGTGTACTTCTCTGTACTTTTCTATACTTTGCGGAAGTCCTTCCACCTAGCAGTGATGTTCACGGATGATTGCTAATGGATGAAGGGATCTTGAACACCGTTGGGTGGAAGTGACCTTCTATTTTTCTTTTCTGCAGGTCGAGAAAAATGTTGAACTTGGAATGGCAGCATTGCGAGGCGAGACAGGTCCTGCCTATGATCGAATCGTGTTGAACGCCGCTATGGCTGATCATTTGCTAGGTTGCGAAGGTGCAAGTGATCCACTAGTCGCAATCGAGCGAGCGAAGGAAGCGATTGACAGTGGAGCTGCTTTAAATCACTTGCTATATTACATCGAAAGAAGTAACAGGTTGTCGTGATCCTGCGCATGGGAGCAGACGAACCAGCAGCCACCAGAGTTGTCTAGTGGTCTATTGAATCTACATCTGATTGATCATGACAGCCGTGAACAAGGACAAATCGCCACTACAAGCAATCCTTTGTCCTGTTAGCCTGTCGTCCCGACGTGCGAATGGAGTGCCCTTGATGTTCCAGAGATCCCTGTCGCAGGTCCCGGTTGCACAACGACATATATCTTTGGACAGCCTCAGTGACATGTGAAGTGCACTGTCATAACACTGAATCCCACGTCCGCCCCCAGACGCCATCGTGCCGAGTCGCATGCCGCAGAGTTGCCTCTGTATTCCATTGTATACGGCTACCTTTGGAACCTTTCTCACTATTTTAGGCCAGTAGTTTTTCAAAATCTCGGAGAGACTTCATTTTTGTCGGAATTGGCAAGAAAGATTTGTCATTTTGATCATCTGGTCCAATCTGGCCAAGCCACTGAGGCCTATTAATGATAATCATGTAAAGTAGAAGTGACACCGTTGCTATTGCGACGTACTTTTCCTCATGAAAGGCCCGGTCAGTGTGTCAAGGTGAATGATTTTGTTGGTTGGCTGAGCCTTTTGGCCTCTCGAGCTAAAGGAGCTCTCATTGTGGAAAGGACTTGAATAGTGGAATTTGTGTTTTGTTTAAGATGTTGATCCCTGAAGAGGACATAGCTCAATTGAGGATTTCGTAGTTTCCTGTAATTACACACGATTGGCCTCGATCCCCAACAATCGAGCTGTCTACGTGTTCTTGTTTGCCCAACGATCGAAGTAAAATTTATATCAGAGCAGCACATCAAGCATTAAAGTCTACACAAGCCGCGGAGTGAATTTGAATATCTTCTCGATTAGCTCGTATAAGTGCTCATACGGTTGGCCAAAGTGGTATCATCGCGAGAACTCAAAAAATGAAAATCCGACAAATAACATTCAATACTGACCTACGACATATTTGGAGGAATTCCATTTGATTCTTTTCTATTAATAACTGAGGTGAATATTTTTCGTGTAGATTTACATCTGTCATAAATAACTACATCGTTCTCATGGCTATGTCAGTTGAATATTAAATCCATTATGAAAAATGTGAATTGTGAGAATTGTACACCACTGTAAACAATATTTTGATTGTATGAATATCAACATTTCATTTAATAACTATGAAAGTCAAGGTTTTTAACTTCTTCACACACAAATCTTTCAAAGTTATGTGCGACCACCATACAATCCAAATTTAGTCATTTAACTATATTTAATGATATAAAAATTGATATATATGATAACAAGATTGATAGATGATTTTCTGGAATTGATTCTTGGATTACGGATGACAGGATTTTGAACCCGATATCGAACCAGAGACACCATCAGGCAACCCATTGATCTATTATACAGAGAAGGTCCCGTCTGACATGGTCTGCTTCAAATTGCTTCTTTTTCATTCAAATTTTTCTTTAAAAATCTACTTATTTTACAATGTTATTCGATCTCTTGCTATTTTATGATTTTTTACAAATTTTGAAAGAAAATTGATTAAATTTTTTATGAGATGAAAATGAAAATCTGTCCAGTGTCAGAAATTTTGGAGTTTAGGTATGTAAATAAAGAAATTATATGCTAATGTTGAGATTACAATTATGACGTCTTTGATTTAAAAAAAAAAAACTTATTATTGATAAAAAGTGATAACATCCTTAGCATCTTATAATCGCTTGATATTTTGATCATTCTTGATATCCTTAATGTGAAATATATATGGAAGTAAAATCCTTATTTTAAAAGTTTATTTCAAAAATGAAAATCATGTTAAAGCATAATCGTATATTGTGATTCATAAGCTTTATGATTAAAATTCATATGAAGATCAAAGTAAAATTCATAATTACATTGTTGATATATTTATGATTTTACTTTCGAAAATTTCTCATTAATTTTGGTTCGTTTTATATGATGTAAAATCAGGGTTGTGTTTATATCTTACTAAGTGAAATTGATTTGAAGTAATGGGCTTATATACCCACTATTTTTGATATGCAGCCAACTATTCAATGCACATCGTGGAAAGCCATACTTTTTCGAAAATGTGATTGTCACTTTGCATAAAAACATATGAGAAACAATTTTTTTCCAATATCTTTCTTTGCAATCTCATGCGTTAATCATATCCCTCATCTTTGTTTTATTCCGAATTTTCTCATAGTATGCTTGCTGGAAAACTTTTCTTTCTTAGATTGCCTCATCTTTGATACAAATTCCCCTGTTTTATTCTTAATGAAATTCGTTAGCTTGGAGTGTACTTCTATTCTCATGTTTTTGTACAAGTTTACAATTTTTTATAATAGATCGAGAAAAAAAAAACTGTCCACGCGATAGATTAAAATTCTTAATTTCTATGGCTTTCACTTCGTTAACTCTCACAAAAAAAGAGTACTCTCGCCAGATCTCTCGAGACACTAAGCACGCTGTTGCACAGTACTTGGCATGCAGTACAGTATGTAAGTAAAGGGATCCTGAACCGTTCTTCCACTTCATTTCCAAACTCACGTGCTCGTGAGATGTTTATGAAATGAATCCCAATTCATCTATGGCACTTCTACTGGGCACTTTAAATCGGGGAAGATCTCATGTACATGTGGCCTGAGATGATTGGCCGTCAACATTATTTTATCTCAATGCAGCGCTTGTGTCGAACTTGCTACCAGTGGAATTTGGCACAAGTGGTCACGTGCGGCCACATGTCCAAATGGTTGGACCTAAACTGCTCGTGGAGCACAACCACGATCGCTTCTGCTTTTGTAACATGTTTTTCACTTTATATCATGTATTTCCTTGCTGACCAGTATATTCCAGATCCGTATATGGGGAAGAAGGACTCCGAGAAAGATCCATTTTCACCTGGCCAGTAGACAGGACTCTTTTCGACACCAACATTAAATGGAGCTCCTTTTCACCGCATATCGACAATGACCTGGACCATCACATTCAGTTTTTTGACGTCTTTCCTTGTGCCTTTATGTGTTTTGCACTGCCGGTTGATATTTTTTAATTTTGCCATCGTTTCGGCCCTGAAGATGCGTGTATTGCAGTTACAATATGGGAGTGGGATTGTGATATATTGCATGAAAGATACAGGGTGGTACCATAATGTATTTTTTCTTTCCTTCTCCTCAAACTACTTCAAGCTTTGAAAATTTGTTTCACCTAAAGTCCTTCGAAGTAAAGGTAATTTTATGTCTCTGTCTTTCTCAACCACACGAAAAATAAAATTCTTAGTTTAAAATATGTGTGATACTCTTCTCTGCATTTTACACTTTTAGATAAGGTGAGGGTCTTTAGAATAGATAGCTAGAAGTATGAATTATGAATTACGAAGGACGTACAAAGAAGTACTATAAATCATGAAGGTCACAATGCAGAAATAAAAACGATGGAGATATGCAGGAATCACGAAATATATGCACAGATGAATTATAAAGTGATGAATGAATCTACATCCAAAGGATGTTTTACAAGATTGCATATTTCATAGTGAGCAGGTGGCGATTATAGCCTAGCACCGGTGGCAAACAGTAGAGAAAGTCTGGGGCCTTCGGGGTAAAGTGGAAAAGGTAGCCTACACGACGGCACAACTTGCTCGCAAACTAGAGTATGCAAGATCTCTGGAAACATCAACGCACTTCCAGAAAGTTTCAGAAAAGGCATTCTGTGTAAAATCACAGCCACAATAAAATGGAGCGACCATAAAATTTTAATCTGCTCCAAACTCAAATCGTCGTCCTAAGTGGCATAGTCTAAGTCTCTAGTACCTTATCCGTGGGGCACAGCGAGGACACGTGTTGGTGGCATATGCCTCGTCGGCCTGCTTGGTCCAAACCTCGTACCGTAGATCGTCCGGAAGGCGTCGGTCGACTCGACATGGAACGCGAAGCTCGGCCTCCGCTTTCCCAACCGCGGCTCCTGACCGGTGTTCTTCTCGATGAATATGGGCCGACGTGGTCTCTCGACCGTCTGTCCGACTTGGAGAGAGTAACCACGTCCAGAGCGAGAGAGGTTGTTGTCTTCTTGCGCAGTTGACCCGAGGAATATGTTCCTGCTGACCTCCCTCTCGGTGTTCGGTATGCGGCCAGGACACCACCGACGGCAGACTCTCCTCGGCTTACTTCGTTTGAGAGGCCAACCTGGTTATTGGTTACATGTTACTTGCTCCGAATGTTGCTACCGCGTGCCTGCTGTTCTTGCTTCCAATCCATTGCGAAGTATTTATCTTCTGCCCCTCTAGTTATTAACTACTTTGGAATATTGTATCTTGTGTTATGTATCAAGTTGATTGAGCGAATAGATTTAAGTTTCAATTATTTTCCTGTCACAACCAATATATTTTATGTGATTCATACTTTGTACGCAATGCTCGACATGGAAAAAAATATTTGCTTGTTTCTTGGATCATCAGTTTTTTCTTTTATTTCAAGTTGAAAAAAAAAAAAACAGATACCCAAACCCTAACTCAAGCCTAAATTTTTTTTCTCGGAAGTGTAGTCTTATAAATACATTATAGGCTTTGATCCAAAAATCATAAGACCAATATCCTCATACCATCCGCAGATATATCACATGAAATCTACATGTTACGCATATAACCTTCAATACTATTATATGATTAGTGATGAATACGTAGGCGTTAACATTTATATAGTCCAGATTTATGATAGATTACATATGAGTATGACAAACGAACTATACATGAAAATCTGGTAAGCTTAAGTAAGATTGACAGTAATTCTATTGATTTGTAAAATGTCTAGGTTCTCATGATGAATCATGCACTCCATCGATTTCATCAGGTAAAACACTCATTCTACTTGATGTCTTTAACAGTAAGAAAATCAAAAGATTATAAGAGGAAGACATGAAATAGTAAGCAATTATCTATAATTTGAAAAATTAGTCAAGAGATAGATTTTTCTTAAAACTTACCAATATTTTCACTCTTTATCAGATGTATCTATGTAGAGTCAACTTGATCTAAATCATATAAATATAACAAAGAAGTTTTTTTTTACATTGTCTTATCAAATTCCAAAAAACATGCTATCATGAATACTTAAAAAGAAGAAAATAACTAATATTTTATGAATTCTATACTCATAAATCTATGAACTAAACTTAGTAGATGCTTGAATCTCAGCTAATTGAACTTCTTTACCGATATGTTGAAACTTCATTGATCATCTCTGGGCTTATCAGTTTTGCATAAGAACCTTGAGTTTAGAAAACAAACATGTAAAAGACTTCTTTCTGAAGTACCACATAGAAATTTTCTAAACTATGGAATAACATCGTTAAATAAAATAAATCTTGGAAAGATCAGATCAGATCAGGCTGAACATGGATAAAAATTAACTGAGTTATAGTGTTCAATAACATCGAAATACAAAATATGTATTTTTTTTATCAGATGTAGGAGTCATCCAGGTCAAAGAAGCCCATTAATAATATATAGTGATCAAGTAAATAATTGATGGTGCGATCGATTGCAATAAGAATTTAACTTGTCCAAAACAGATGACATACTTAACTGAAAGAATGATACCTTACGGTCTAGAATGATAGGCTCTTTTGAACTTCCCAGCAAACAAGTCCGAATAGATGTATCTAATCTTGAAGAAACGAAAACTCAAACTCTGAACATAATTTAGCACACTTTGCTGTTGTGGCTCCAAATCGCAGACTGTCTACAAGGATGAGTGATGAATACATATGAAAGAATGTTCCATGTAGTATCAACGACCATCACATCAGAAACTATTACACTTTAAATAAACTATGAACCAATTCGATTGCACATCATACCAAAATTTTCTCCAAGCGAGATATGCACAGTCTCACTAAATATCTCTTCATAACCAGAACGTTCAAAAAGTCATACGAAAAGTTGATATATATTGTAAGATGCAGCGTTATCCACATATGAGTACTAGAGCTTTTGACAGAACTATGTTAACAGAACAGAAATAAAATAATTAACCGGTGGGAATAGAACAGCTAAGGTTTAAGAGGTCAAGTATGAGAATTATGTGTGGAGAAAGTGAAGAAGAGGAGAGGAGACCCATGGTTACGTGGTAGCCGCTTAGGAGAGCGGGCAGTGGGGGTCTGCCCGGCGCCAGGCGTTAGGACTAGCGCTAAGCGACAAGCGAGTGTCTCGTCAAATCAGGAGGAGCCGGAGGACGAGGAGAAGGCGGAGGAAGGAAAGCGAGCGAGCGAGAAACTTGCGAATGAGAAAGCGCAGAAGGAGGAGGGATGGAATGCCGATTGCGAACCGGATGTCCAACTCGATTGCGATCGGAGAAATGATTGGCGGAAGACGCAGGCCTGGGCCGTCGTCGTGTCGGGCCCAGACGAATTGAGCTTCCGAGCGAATCAGTCCCGTCCAGTATCTCTCTCGCGCGCTCTCTCGTCGACTCTTGCGCGCTCGTGTCACTCCTCCGACGCCCCTTTCCCTTTGGCAGGAGGAGCAGGAGCAGGAGCAGGGCGAGGGCGCTGCTGCGAGTCCAGCCCCCAGCCCCGAGCGAGAGGAGAGAGAGCGCGAGAGAGCGCGAGCGATAAAGCGCGCAGAGAGCGGAGGAAGCTTCGTCTTCGCCTGCTGCTCGTGGAGGCACGGCAGACAGAAGAAGATTGGATGAGATTGCGACGTAAAGCAGTCGTCGCACTGAAGCTTCCGGCAGCGAGGAATTAGGGGAGGAGGAGCGCCAGAGATCCCAGTCCAAGCGAGGGCGGTCCGGGCAGAGAGAGAGGTCGATTGACTGAATGTGAGGAGGAGTCGAGGACGTAGAGCAGGAGCAGGGGCGGGAGCAGGAGCAAGGAGCAAGGAGCAGGAGCAGGGGACGCACACAGGGGAGTGAGAAATGGTGGTGAGTTTAGGAGCGGGTACAGGGACTTGGGCCGCGGTTGTGGGGACGACGAGCTCCGCTGCCTCTCCTGCCGTGGAGAGAGGAGCAGCGGCACACTACGCGCAACATTGTTCTTGCAGCTATGGGAGCGGCAGTGGCTCGCCGGCGTCGGACGGGATTCGTGCTGGCTCGAGCTTGAATGATTTAGGGAGGCCTGCTTCTTCGTCTAGGATTCTTTCCAGGGATTGGAGCGGTCTAGGATTGGTTGTTCATGGAAAGCGCCCTCACTTTCGACTTCGAGAATGGAGACGAGCTGGCAGGAGAGACGCCCATTGGCATTCTTCCTCCACTCGGGCCTCGTCCGTTGCCACAGAGAGACCCCCGCAGGAAACAACCTCAGGTTAGTTCCTAGCCTTTCTTCGCTTCTCGCAATCTGTCAGCTGTCCTTCAGGCGACCTGTCTGCGAGATTCAGTGTTGCCAAATTGAGCGCGCGCTTCATGCGTTCAGAGTAATTACACGGAAGTCTTTTCGCCCGAACTCTCTCACTCATCTCGGAAGCATCCTGTGCGCTCCGGGCACTTTTTCGAAGTATGTTATCATGTAGATAGTCTTGGATATTCCCAGCTGGTCATACTTCGCTATCGGTTGGTTGTAACGGAACTGCCGGTGGGTTCTTTCTCCCCCCGCCACCAGCGTTTCCCAGCGGATGCACAGACTTCAGTAGCTTCAGCAGATAAAGATTAGCTTTGGAATTCGTGCCAACTTGCTCCTCATTTTGCGTCAGCATTGGAGATTCCTTGCGTTCTCTCGGAAATTTGGGACGCTGCGGCCAGTTCTATTTTAATCGGGAAGCCATGACTGACAAAGCTGAATCTTCAGGCTCTGACGGTACCGCACTTAATCTATAAGTCGGATTTTTTCCTGTAGCTCCTGCCCCACTCAGTATCTAGCTGTCAATACACATCTTTCTGATCATTCGTCCACCTCCCACTTTCTTGGTCTGTGTCGGAAAGAATTCGTGACATCTTGCCTCACCTTTTTTGGATATAATTTGTCTTGAAGGAATAGGTGAGAGCGGAGTAATCTTCTTGACTTTGGATTTGAGCTCGTCACTGATCTTCGTCTCTTGTCGTAGAAGATTAAGTACTGGTATCTCCTCTCCGTGTCTGTAGCTGCGTTAGAATCGGCAGAGGACGCAGCGTAATTTGGCCATCACGTACTTATATTGATGATGCCCACTTTTTCGGTTTTCATCAAACGATCAGAACTTTCTTTTCTCGAAACGTGGAGAAGGTTTTTATCGTTGTGCTCGTTATTCCCATACTTTTATCCCAAGACATGCTTTACTTCTAAAGCACTGATATGGGTGATCGCGTTCCACGCCCGTAGCGTGGAATCAGCAAATGTTCTTCCGTTTTTAATCTTTCTTTTCTTTGTTGTCAATTCGCTAACGTCTAAATCCCCGAATGCTTTGCGAGTCATATTACTTCCGATTCTCAAGCGAGTTCTCGTTCTTATCCAGCGAAGAGTTTAGCCGACTCGGTGTAGATCTGCGGTCCAAAATATTGAACTGTCATTGATCTTAAATACCGGATGCCAGATTCCAAGACAGTGAGTGGTGCAGATGACGAATTGACGAATAGAAACTATGATTCAAAATTGAGCAAACTGATCAAGGATGCGAAATAATAACTTTCATTTGCGACGCCTAACTGGAAATTACCTTGCACGTTCGATGGCTAGATTTCTTCAAAAGCAAGATCAGTAGGTCCTTCATGGTTTAATCGTTTAGTCAATTTGCGAGTTCCACTCACTAAGTACTGATGACGGTGAATGCACACGTCTGTATTTTGGTAAAGTCTTGAGTGCCAAGTTCTGGACGTCAAGTCCCGCGGACACATGAAAAATTCGGATGGAGGATCAAGGAATGCACATTTATGCAGAGTTCATTGCAATTGTTTTTTTAACTGTGGACTTTGTTCGTTGGACCTATTAAATTTGCAAAGTCGTCTATCTTTTGAGCCGATTTTATGCTATTTGTGACATTATCTGATTCGAATTCTTGCTATTGCAGTGCCGAAGGGAGGCGTGGAAAATCTTGTGATCATTGGATCAGGTCCAGCAGGTTACACCGCTGCTATTTACGCCGCTCGGGCGAACTTGAAGCCCATTGTGTTCGAGGGTTATCAGTCTGGTGGTGTACCGGGAGGTCAGCTTATGACTACCACTGAGGTCGAAAATTTTCCTGGTTTTCCAGAGGGCATCACTGGTCCAGATCTAATGGACAGGTATGGTTATATCCTGCCGTAAATTCTGCTTTCAGACGCTCTACCTGAACGGTAGCAAGATCTTTCACATGAGCTTGAGAGTGTGCCGGCCTTTCTTGTCACAAACTTGCCTAACATCAAACCCTGCCTGTATCATTAGAAAACCTAAGAGTATGTCAGAGGCTTTTTTCCATAGATAGAAGGTTGTGTAGGTATGTATCAATGCTTTTTTTCTTCCCTATGATTACGAGGTAGGAAGCTGTTTTGCTCACGAATACTGTCTTAAGGTGCTGAGTCATTTTTCACCGATGTTGGCATGCTAAACTTCCCATGATGAATTATTTATAGTAACCTTACATGTATCATCATATACTTACTGTAATATACAGGATGAAGAAGCAAGCTGAGCGGTGGGGTGCCGATCTGAGGACAGAGGACGTTGAGTATGTGGATGTACGAAATCGACCATTTACAGTCAGGACCAGTGAGACCGAGGTCTGTGTCTCACCCTTTTATAAGCTATATCTCTTTGTCGATTTCTGAATTAGGAAACTGCACTGAATTCTTCTTTACGACCTTTTTGCATCTTTTACGATTTGCACCATATTCGCGAAATTGAAGAAGAATCGTGGCCACACAACTCTTATATAGAAATCTAATTGTTAGACGAAAGAGACTTCAACAATTTAAATGGCTCTGTCGGTGCCTACACTCGAGCCTCAGTAATTATGACTTATGATACTCAAGGAGCCAACGTGAACTGAGCTACACAGTTGTGGGCACGTGTGGTCTTAGTCTGAAGTGTTTTCACCACATAACATTCCAGGCTGAGGGGGAACCTGGTGATGGTTTGAACTGTAACACATTAATATACGACGTTAAGCTGTACATGGGAGCCGATGAAATGTGTAGTACTGCCTTGAGAAACTTGAAAACGTTACTTTATTCATTCCTGTCTTCTGCACGGTTTAACAACTTTATCTGGGTCTGCAGGTTAAATGTCATAGTCTTATCATAGCGACTGGCGCTACCGCGAAGAGACTGGGTCTGCCTCGGGAACATGAATTCTGGAGTAGGGGAATTAGTGCCTGTGCAATCTGCGATGGGGCATCGCCTATTTTTAAAGGTCAAGAATTAGCAGTTGTTGGTGGTGGTGACACAGCTACTGAAGAAGCCATCTATCTTACTAAGTACGCCAAACACGTCCATTTACTGGTGCGAAGAGATAAGCTCCGGGCATCAAAGGCCATGCAAGACAGGTATACTGTTTGTTATCAATTGTCACATCGGTATCTTTTGGAACCATCTATGTAACAATACCCGCATGCTGCATCTTCATAACCAACTTGCCAGTTTGACTAGTATGTACTAACATAGTTATATACATTTAGCAGAAGCATAGCATAACTGTTTGCCCATCTCTTCGAGTCGCAATATTTGAGATGGATAATTTAAAACATCTGTTATTTTACATGGAAACTCGTGGCTTCTTACAGAGTATTCAACAATCCAAATGTGACCGTTCACTTCAACACGGAAACCGTTGATATTGAAAGCAACAGTAAAGGTCAAATGTCGGGTCTGAAATTACGGGATATCGTAAACAATGAAGAAAGAACTTTGGAGGTGAAAGGTTTGTTTTACGGGATTGGACACAAGCCAAACAGCCAGCTTTTGGAAGGTCAAGTTGATCTGGATGAATCTGGATATGTGATTGTGAAGGACGGTGTTCAGACATCCGTTGAAGGAGTATTTGCCGCTGGCGACCTTCAGGTGCGTTGAAGTTACTTGCACATTTCAAAAGCAGGTTGAACGCAAGATGCATTGAAACATTGTGGACATCTTGCATCTGATGCCGGAACTGTCTGTCGTATTCAAGTCCATCCCTAGACCTTTTGATGGCATTACTTTTCAGCAAGATGCCGTTCTTATTTTTGCCGTCTATGAATCTTGTAGATGAACAGCAATCGCTTGTCACTGTTTATTGTAGGCTAGACAGTGTTAGTTGTTGCCTGAAGCCAAGAGATTCCGCACTATAGCAGATGGGTAGAAGTCAATTGAGGAAGAAGAGTGAAGAACACAGGACTAGTGGTTCGAACATTATAGTGAAGAGACGTTTCTTTTAGTACTCGAGTATAAATACCAATACTCTTTTAATGCTTGAATATTGCCTTGTGTTTAAGCATGCCCAAAATTGTTCAGAGATTTAATCACGACATCAATTTGATAATGTTATCTCGATCGATCGCAGGACCATGAATGGAGACAGGCTGTGACGGCTGCAGGCTCAGGATGCATGGCAGCTCTGTCTACTGAGCGATATCTCACCAGCAGAGGACTTCTTGTTGAGTTCCATCAGGTGTGGAATTTATGTAATGATTAAATACTTAGCAAATATCTGATGTCACATAGTATTTAATGCACTTCTAACTTTAACCATGTACGGACTCCCTTTTCTTCACTCAATATGTTTGTTATGCCGCTGCCTCTCATTTCCCTGAATCATTAACGGATTCGCTAATAATGAATTGATAATTTTATCTGTCAACAGACCGCAGTACCGCAGGAGACAAAGAAGGAGTTCACTCCTCAAGATGTGCAGATGGGATTTGATATAACTTTAACCAAGCACAAAGGCCAGGTATGTTTTCTTGACTTCCAAACTGTATCACATGTGGTTTCAAGGCGGACTTGTTTATTCCACCGCACTACTCGAAAGTCTTGTATCTTAAAATATGGAGAAAATATTCGCAATACCCGATTCGCTGAAAGGGTCCTTCGTTTAGAGCGCTGAACTTTAAGTTGTATCTTACGCTGCCGTTTTACCATTGGGTGTCACAGTACGCATTACGACGACTCTACCATGAGAGTCCTCGACTCATCGGGGTCTTGTACACATCTCCAACTTGCGGGCCCTGCCGTACACTGAAACCTATTCTCAACAAGGTCATTATTATCTCCATTTTCAAGAAACTTATTGCACAGCTCAATAGCCGATCCGAGCACTTTGTTAACTAGCTTGCATTCAAAGAATGTCCCAGTTATTGGTTTTTTTTTACATTCATATGAACCAGCGTATTTATATGTCGGTGTATCGTCATATGAAGTGTATGTAGATTCAACTTGTGTAATTATGTATGATGCTGCAGGTCATAGACGAATATGCGAATGATATGCATTTTGTGGAGATCGACATCGAAGAAGATCCTGAGATTGCCGAGGCTGGTGGTATCATGGGGACACCCGTGGTTCAGTTTTTCAAGAACAAGGAACGAATAAAGTGAGTTGGAATTGAAATGTGTTTATTTTAAAATGTATGTGCTGAAAGTTTTAAAGATTCCGTTTTCGACTCGAATTGATACTCGCTTAAGGTAGCACGAGAAGCTAATGCGTGAAGTTTGGTTGGTTTCTGGTCTGGTTGTTTACAGAGAAATAGCAGGTGTCAAGATGAAGAGGGAATACCGAGAGTTTATTAATGCAAACAAGTGAGCTCTATGCCCGCCCCGGTCCCGTTGTGGATTACTGTAACGTTATTCGTGAAATTTGCTGGGCATTCATGTGAAGTAGATCGGTTTCCAAGTGGAAGCGTTTGGTTAGCTGCTGTCAATACTTGGGCAGATGTTATCTGTCACAACGGCAAGGTACATCAAAAATCTCCTGTGAGTAGAGGATATTGTTCAGTTTGTATCTAAATTTTTTTCTGCGCAAAGAGAAAAGCAATCTTTGTGAAATTCGCTTTGATGGTCCAAGAGCCGATGCCCGCCTTGAATCTCATCATGCTCAAGACTTGTGTGAGTCTTGACAGGTGGCTCGAATGCAGATAATCTCCTCAGTCACGTTTAGAAACTTGAGACTCTCCATAGTTGTATTTGTATCTTAGTAAGGTTCTCCATAGTCAGGGGCATGTAACCAGATCTGCAAAGCAGGAAGCAATAAAGTAACTTCGACGTCAATAATCAGCATTATTGAATACTGCTTGAGAGTCGAGAAGGCATTTTTACGGTCTTACGCCCTCTGTTTGGTCACCGCATCGTTTTTTTTAAATTGCGTCTTCATATACGTGAACTTCCTCCATTACTGGATCTGTAAAAAAGTGAAATTATTGCTGTTACCCTCATTAACCATTAGAGGGCAAACTTTCGACAGGAGGTCATAGTTCTTTTAGCGACTTTCTAACGAGATCCGACTCTCGCATTTCCTGTCTGGATGCTACTTCCTCACCGTGAAATTTAGCGTATCACGCATCACCTGATGGTGGAAATGCACCGAACGCCTAATCCTAGATCCCGTCGTCTAGTCGTAAGCACATCGGATATGGAAGTTATATACATTTTCATGAGTAAATAAAGTCAAAGATTTCCTCTGAACGCATATTAAACCGAGAGTGAAGACTAAAGACTAAATATCACCTAGCAGAAGGTATTATGGGCCATCCTGAACTGAAGAGGGCCATCCTCGTCACTAAGGGCTCCTCACAATCGGGGGAACGCGAGCGATAGTAAGTAACAAAGACAGTGGAAATTCCTGTTCACAATTTTGGAAGTAGAGGAAATTGGAGGAGCAACTTGTCTTGAGCCTAGATAGTTCTAGGATTGTGAATAGGGACCATTACAAGGAACGAAAACACCCTCATCGACGATAGCGTTCTTTACCCTCAAATGTGGCGTTGAAAAAATGAGCTCTTAACAACATCTAGCCTGATTTAAAACTAAAACAAATATGGATGTCATTGCTAATAAAGTTCCTTGCAGTTTTTCGTCTGACAAGATGTTCACAATATAATATATTTTAGTACGTATGAATCAAAATAGCTTCAGTCTCATCAACACATGTAAACCCTACGCGAAGTGTAAAAAATAAAGGCTTTGAAGGAATAAAAAAAATCACAAATTGTACTCCTCCTGATTTCCTAATTTCAAACTTAGTATTCTTTTGAAATGTGCTTATGATTTTTATCTATTAATTGTGTTTATAAAATTGGAACTTACCTTCAATCTTAAAATTTATAATATTTAAATTTCATGCATTTTTTAAATTTTTTTTTTGGTGTTTTTGCAATAAGGATCTACGTATATGTAATCTTCATCAACAGGGAGTCAACACAAAAATCCAACAAATGACTTCTATGGATGGAAACAAGAAATGACTCATCAAGAATTTCATACGCAAAGTTTCATTGGCTAGAAGTGTTAGAGTTAAAAGGTGACTCACATCTCATCAACTATGGTTAGATTGATTAGCATGTTACCAAACCTGGTTGCAGCTTCTCCCCAACACCAAGTTTAGGTCTTCCAGTAAAGTATCTACGTAATTTCTTTGTATTGACTCAAAGGTAGAATGCTTCTCTCTTTGTAAAATTAGAAAACCAGTGATATTGAAATGAGTGTGAGCACCAAGCGGAGTGTGAAAGCGACTGGCTATAAAGGGCAAATTTAGACGCGATTGCATTGTGGTAGGGAACATTGGTAAGTGATCATGGTCCCAGTGAGCGTTAGCTATCTAGGCTTCACTCAGAGCCCTACTTTGTACAGTACGTGGAATTGGCCATGGTACATCAAGTTGTAAACTTTGGTCTCGCCCTCGTCGTACAGACATATAGTACGCTTGAAATAAACTACCTATTGTAGAAAAACGCCATGGCAGAAATTTACTTAAATTTGTTTTATAATATAGATACACTAATCTATAGAATAAATTTATATTTGAAATGAAAAATTTGAATAAACTCAATAATTTATTATGTATTAATAATCAAAATTTTTAACTAAGGATGCTTATTGTTAAATATTTGTATTGTACATATGTTTGATGTACATATCATCACATAGTAGTCAGGGAAGCGTATCGTTCCAGTACTCCAGTTCGGCCATGTATTTAATGAGCATTGCCATCACCACCAAAGAATGCTCACGATGAAGACTGCTCACTGTGCTTGCCGCCAGCAAGCACAGTGAGCAGTGGATCAAATATCGGCTTGCTGCCAGCAAGCCGATATTTGATCCATGTTATAAGTCGATGTCGAGTCTTTGTGGTGTGATGTGCGTTTTCGAGTTGGGGGTTGTTTTCATGAATTTTCTCTGGACATTTGTATCTGAACTAGATGCTGGTGCTGCAAGCATCAAGGTTGGAGTCAGCACGCTAATCAAAATATATTCTCACATGGCGCTGAAGATATTAGTGGCGTGTATTTCTGTGCTTGCGGATATCTTGGTCTTTTTATGTGAGATTGTTAGCCATTGTTGAGATGGTAAGCTAGGAACGTTGGAAGATCAAGTCCAATTATAAAGATTGGTTGGCAGCAAAAGGCAACGATCAAGCTAGAATATCGGCTAGCAAAACTTATGTAATTCCGCCAGTGATCACATACCAATAAAATGTCAATGTTTGTTAAACTTGTGTCGTGGCAGATGCTTCATCACAAGATCAGCCAGATTGTCATCTATGTGTATGTAATCAAGTGCAATCTCCTCATCTAAAACTTGTTTCCTTGCAAAGTGATGCTTGACCTTGATGTGTTTCACTTTAGCATGAAAAACAAGATCAAAAGCAAGGTTTACAACATCTTGATTGTAACATAAGAGGTGCAAATCCGCTTGAATCAAAGTTTCTAAGTGCTTGAGGTCTTCGCCAATGTTGGAATCTTGACATGTAATACGGACTACAAGAGGCGGTATAATCTGGAGTTCGTCGTGGCCGGGACTGGTGATCATGCACTGCAAGAAGGAAATGCTCTTTTTCCAGCCTCTGGCGATTGGGAGATGTCGTCAGCAGATTTCCCCGACAGTAGATTTCCCTCTCGGGAGCATTACGAAAGCGTCGAACTCTGGTAGCGCCTGGGACAAGCCTGCGGTCGCTCGACCTCGATTTTGGATCCCAGTCCGGTCACTGATGAGTCCGGAGCAGCTGGAAGTGAAATGTGTCGCGGACGAGACGTGGTATAATGCCGATGTCGACATTTTAGACGACGGCATCCTTGTGCGGTAAGACGGCCTCAACGAGGATGACGAGGTTTGGGACATAGCCTACTGTACTTGAGGAAACACGCAGACAACGTCCAGGATGTGCTCAGACTCTTGTACTCCCAGCTCCAGGACGGGCAATGTCGTTCCGTCAAAGAAGGGATGGTCGTTTGTGCTCTGGGCGTTCTTGAAGACAACATCAACGAAGAAGAAGAAGGCGAGAAGGAAAAAGAGGTGAAGTACTTCGACGCGCAAATTGTGAATGTCGCTCGAAACCCCCACATTTATTATCACATACCCCTAAAGTAATTTGGATTTCTTGGATAACAAATTTTATTTTTTTCTTACAAATATACAATCAACACTAATGAAAGATTATGTTATATTCAATTTCATATGACTATAAGTGTACAATCTTTTCTTTTGAGTGATATGAATAATATTTTATTTTACTCTAGCTATGACTATGATGAGAAATTATATCTCAAATGCAAGATGATGTATTTGAAATATTAAATTATATTCATATATATTTCAAGAATATTACATATAATGATAGTTTTTTTACATTCATTGAACAAAATAAAATAACTTTTAGTCAGCGTTAATGTGTAAGATGGACCCAAAAAATTACATTCAGTTGGTACTCATATTTGAAGATGACTTGATTAGTTGGTTTATTTTGTAAAATTCTTAGCTCAATTTTTTTTAAAAAATATCAAGATGTAATGGCAGAAAAATTAAAAAGGAATTTAATAAAATTCTTACTTAAATAGGATTAGATTATGTTGTCAATTTTCACAGAGATAATCAAGATGAATCAAATCTTGAATAAAATTAACAGATCTCTAGTATGATCACATTGACATTGGATTTCATCAGATTAAATAAGCAGTTTCAAAATTAATATTAGAGTAGGAAAAATTTCAATAAAACTATCTCAATTAATTCAAATAATTAATTTCTTCGAATTTTTTTATTTTTTTGTAGTTTTTAAAATATATACTTAAATAACATAAAAAAATAAAAGAAAATACATGATTTTACTCTATGTTATTTTGGCTCTATTATGAATCTTTTTTTAGTGTGTTACTTTTCATATTTTAAAATATCTTGGCTATGGAGATTAAAAATCTCAAAACATAATAAATGAGTAGTAAGTGAATTTTTTTTGAAAATTAATTATAATTTCTTGCGGTTGTTGCCCGTTTAGCGCCACCCGGCACCTAGGGCCCAGGAGCTGGTGTGGGGGGAGGAGGTCCCTTGTCGTTCTCAAGAGCCGTCGCCGGTTGGGGTATTTATACTATAAAATATAATGTGATAACTTAATTTTAATTGTATCATCTTATATAGAAAATTGGTTGTAAGTTTACGTTGAAACAAGTTTTTGAGTGAAGTATTTTTCTGTTTATTCTTGGAAGTTGTGTAACAAAGATGAACTACTTATCTTTCATTTGTTAAGGCATTCATGTAAAATATTGTGTAATTACTTTCTTGAAATCACATGTAAAATTATTTTAGATTCTTTTAGGTTTACATATTCTAACAAATCAAAACACTGACATTTTTTGCATGCATTTTGTCAGAGAATTATTGAGAGCAAAAATTGAAAATTTGAATGCAACCGTCTTTGATGTCATCGGTGTACTAAATAGAAGAAACGAGGAAAGAACGGACATTAGAACCAAGAGTTCGGTAATCTGGCAGTTGATGCTAGATAGACAGCGTTGTTCCAACCACCAGTCATTACGTACCGATTTGATCCCAGATACAAAACATCCTTTGGAACTACAAAGGAAACACACTGTTGTCTCATTTTACCAATTCAGCGGCAAGACTTGGAATCTCACATAATGATAACTAAGACACACGAAGAGACAACTCTATTTTAAATGAATTTTTGTTTAAAAAGGAAAAAAAAGTCAAGGTTCCAAAATCTTTTACTTTCTGCAGAAGACATCCATGTCACATCCGTCACTGAGAAGTTGAGGAAAAAAGAGGTCAATGCACCTTATAGCCTTCAATAATATACGTTGTGTCCACCTTACTCTATGAGATTAAGAGAATGGCCGAAAGGAATGCTAAAATACACGATGGGTGATAGGCAGCCTCAAGGACACAGCCCATGGACTTAAGAACAAAGAGGATGGGGAAACTGGTGGTCGGCGACAATAATAAAAAAACTTGGAGGTCTTTTATTTAAATAACAGATTTCCGAACTTTGTATGAAATAAAAACAAGGTGTTGGGAAGATCAGCACTTGGCTTTTGTGGATGGGGATGTTAATCTTCTTCATGTTGAAACCTTCGGCAATAAGTTCATATTTAGACAAATATATATATAATAAAGTAACAAAATTTAGAGCATGACGGTCAAATTTTAGTTGAAGCGAGGACTTTTCTTGGTAACAATGAGCGCAAGAAGCTAGACTTCCTCACTGACCATCGCCACGGGGCATTCGAAACAATTAGAAAGCTAGTAGGAGACGAAGAGTTCGTTTCTGCACGTACGTAGGCAGTGAAGACTCATTAACTTGATCTAGATCAAGCTTATAAGTTGGATTTCTGGATTAGCTATTTTAACACGGATGGTAACGACATATGGAAATGAATTAAGGTTTCAATTCTTGTCCATTTTTCCGCTGCGCTTCCCTCTAATTCTGCTTGTCGAAGTCAAGAAGAAATACGAAATAGAGAGTTGAACTTCTTGCTGACGTCCATTAGGCTAATTAATCTTGCTTCATATGAAGCTTGTATTATTACGGTCTGGTCTTATCTAGAGAAGAGCAGGTGTAAATTGTGGTCATGGGCGAGAGTGGAGGTGAGCATGACGATAAAACACGGCAGCTTTGTGATTTTGATCTGTGGATGCATTGAATTCTAGAATTCCTCGAATAGGGATACAATTTTTGGTTTAAGATTTCCGGTCTGAACTTCGAAGACTTCGGAGTCTCACGCTTTTTGTATTTTGTGGGGGGCGTATTTCTAGATACTTCATGATTGATACCGATCCCCCGTTGGATGAGCAAGTCCTGTCGAGAAGCATGGGAACAAGTTTGGGTGCTGTTGACGATTTGTGTGTTCAATCTGCCTCTACCGCTGCTACTCCTGCAGATGTCGAAGAAACTGCATTGAACGCGGAGGAGGAGGAGCCAGTGGAGATGCCGAAGAAGAAGAAACGAGGGCGTCCGAGAAAGAATGTCGCGACGAGAGCACCATGCAATGATCTTACGCCGGCAGCAATTCCTTCCCCAATTGCTTCTCGAACACCCGATGAAGAGGTCAAAGCAGATCACTTCAGCTTGGAAACCACGCCTCATGTTTCCACCCCTTCGAATTCAGAGCTGCCAAGTAGTGCAATTACAACATCAGGCCTGCCTTGCTCATACCCCGACCCTTATTCAAACACGGATTCTGATGTCAAAGTGGAAGAGGGAGGAGCTTTAGAATATCCACAAGTAAAGCGTCGGCGTGGACGCCCTCCCAAATATCAGAAAATGATAGAGAAGAAGTCTGGTGCAGCTAAGCAAAAAATTCGAAGCTTGTCCAAGAAACAGCAGCAGAGCCGCGAGGAGGAAGATTCTTGCAATAGCGATAAGGACGGACGATCCCAAGTCAAGAAGCGAGGTCCAGGACGTCCTCCTGGTTCCGGAAAGAAAAAATTTCTGAAGAGTGACTCGCCTTCATCAACTGGAGGTGGATCAGGTTTGTGCTCCAGTTTCAGTCTTTGTTTCGCTACAAGATAGTTGGCAAAAGGCGAATCGTTACGTCTCGTCATGATTCAGTGCGTAAAACACCACGTCTGAAACATAAGGATCGAATGTTCTGCTCCATTCATTAGATAGAGGGCGGGCTTTTAGCCGCTTGATATTGGTTCGTCCAAGTGTGTCAAAGAATTCATGCTTCTGGTTTCAATGTGCTTGAAACACATGCTCATAGTTTGCTGGTGTAGGTGTTCATCGTCAAGCATTACCCATCGAGGCTCAGATTCTACATATTCTTCCGGAAGAGGTTGGTGAATTTTCCAGCAGCGTGCTCGCTTCCCTTTTGCATTTCTTTCTTGTGCTGTCCTGATGTTGCTGAGTTTTGTGATTTTTTTTTCCCATAAACAAGGATGTAGCAAAGGTGGTGACCGATTTCTGTCAGAACGCTGGCCTTCCAATGTGTGTGATGTCTGCAAATGGTGAGATATCCACTATCCACTTCAAGAATGAAGTGAAACCCCGAGACGTTAGCACCATTCACCAGGTGATAATTCACGCATGAAAGAGCGACGAAAATTGTATCAGTTGTGGAAATTGTACATTCTAGTATGGTAAATTTGTCTGAATTTTTCTGGCGAATTTTTCCGTCTTTATTTAATAGTCTTGAGAATATACACAACCTCAACCATACTCGAGGTTGTGTGAAGCTTTCGAATTCCTGTGTTACGAGGGTGCAAGGCTCCTGAGAAGCAACTGACATGAAACTGTTAGCAGGGCCTGCGCGAGATCATTTCTATGTCTGGATGCGTCATGCCTCTAGATGGCGAAGGAGATAAGAGGTGGATTAGCAGATTCACAGTCTTGCTCGCTGACAGTGAAGGTCGAATCGTTGGAGGAGGTATTTCAGACTCCATGATTGCCGCATCCAAGGTGCAGGTAATATGCGTGTGCCATCCAAAGTGTGCGGTGATCCTCTAGCGAGATCTATCGGCTTCTGTCATTTAGCAAGATCGTTTCAATTTGGTTCAATAAATAGGGAATTGAAATGCTTACGATGTGTCAATCATTGCTAAATCATCTCAATATTGTCAATTGTAAAGCCCGTTGAATTCTCTTGGAGAATTTATATGTGGATCTCTTACACGTTTCTTGTGCCAATACAGGTGATTCTCGGGAGCTATCCTATTGCGGATGCACAAAATCATGAGGCTTCTGATTAGCTTAGCACAAAGAACAGGTTGGGAATCCGTAAAAGACAATTTAGCACATTACGTGCCTGCAGTTAGACTCAGTAGATTACATGCCTGAAATGTAAGTATATGGTTATGGCTTCGACACGAGGGTGACGAATAATTCATAATCACAACGGGAGAGACATATTATAGCTGCACGCATCTAAGACCCAGATATCACCAACACTGGTTCTCTTGCGACAGAAAAGTCATGCTAACGTATCTTTTCCGCAATATTGCTTTTCCATCTACGAACGAGACATTTGTCATTCATATCTTTTTCTGTTCCCAAGGTGTAGACCTTGGGAAAGAAAGTCGGATGTAGCCGGTTGTTAGACTTGAGTCACATAAAGTAGATGTGCACTGGATTATCATAGATTTGTAAGTTAGAATTAGAGTGTTCGCAATGCTTCACGACTCAGCAGGTGGAAACTGCCGCTTACATGTACGCAGTGAAGTCTATTTGAATGCGAGGAATACAGCAGAAGATGCTAAAATGAAATTACAGTGGATTCGGCTCGGACAACTGGACTATTATGAGTGATCAACAGGATCACTCATGCGTCACGATTCTTTCATAACGGACTTTCTATCAGATGAACCTGATTGCAATTGCGCACAATGGATGCCGGCCTTGACGGAAGAACGTCATGGAATAGACGTCATCCGCAGGTTCATGATCGTATGCATACAGTTACGAGAAGTTTCAGTCTTAGAATATTAGGTGTCAAATATATAATATGCCATAATTACTTGGTGATCTGTCAACGATGCATACATATATAAACAAATATAGGTTTGCTAATTAACTTATACTCCTGTTACGACGTTCATCAACGGAAGGCTGTAAGATCAGGATCATCATCATCATAACTTCAGCAGTCTTGGCAATGTTTATAAAAATTGACAGTCGTCTACGGAAGGTTTTGAAGTGAGGATTATCAAAAAATTGGGAGAATGAAAGAATCTGAGTAGTAGAAAACTTAATTCATATGCAACCTACAAACTGTTTTGCACAACCTGGCAGCCTTTCATAAACGCAGGAATTATCTCTCCTGAGTAAGTGCAAATGAATTCCGTCGGAATAGATCTTGGACCGTCACTTTCGAAAAGTAAAGTCTCTTCCTGCATACAAGCAAGACAATAACATATGAATTTAGTGTGAACAAGCAGCCTGCTATCTCTTCTCTTACGTGTTTTGAAAATCGGAATGTGGGAGTTTCCCGTCCTATTTTTCTCACACATCCATACCAAGAGTTTGCTAAACACCGCACTGTCTGTAAAGCTATCGGATACGTTGCATTTTTACAGCCACATTGTTTGCAAAGCTATTGACATCACAAAATAGAGGAATAATTTACATTGGCTGCTATTGATAAGCATAGCAGTTGCATAACTGTCAAGAAAATCTGCGAGAATCGATTAGAATCTACACAACAAGCTTCGTAACTTCCAGTGTTCATACCTTGAAATTGCAAATCTTATCGTACGAATTAAAACATTGAGTAGCTATCTAGCAGACACCATGTCAAGGGATTCTCAATAGCAATGCCGCGGCATTACATGACAGTCTTCGTAAAAATAACAATTCTTGTCCAGAGACTTGAAGTATCATCTGTTCTTGGAATCGAGCAAGTTCGAATGACATCAGGGGTGATGTGCAGTTTTCAAATAAGTACAGAGTTTTAATAGGATAGCACAGAATCAAAATAAAAAATGGGTGATATGGTGATTCCAAATCCTAGGGGATAAGTAGAGAAGCCTTGAGACCCCGAGAAACAGATAGAACTCATCATAGCTTGTTTCAAATGTCAGTCCAGAGGAGTTCGCAGAGTTCAGCGCACGTCTAAGACAAGTACTTACTTTTACCTCCCCGGAGTGGGAGGTAAAATTACATCACTTAATTACATCACTCAACCTCAGCTGAGGCCTGTACATAGCTTACAGATCGTTGTGCTTTTGCTTGATTCGGTTGACTTACTACGAAGTGATGTAAAACCTGTCACCTCTGTACCTAATATTCGTTTCGGTGTCTCTAGCCTTAGATGTATAAGAGTTAGACAATTGTGGTAGAGATTCGGAAGGTTTTTGTTCATATCACCAGCATTTTCCAAAATGACTTTAAATTTAGTAGAGTCTAACATACAGAAAGTAGTGTTTCGGTGTTCAAAAGAGTTCAAAGAGGTCCGTAACGCTTTGATCCTGAGGTGTTGAAAACCTTAGCAGATAGAAGATCTGACAGTGTGCAATTATGAATGAGTGATCCAAAGTGCATGCGATAGAATGAGGTTATCCAGTATTGGACAAATCACAAAATCTTAATTACCACCATCTCCCAACGGTGTAGACAGTGGAACATAGAGTTTTATATTCTCACACATCACAACAATTCTGTTTTTCTTGTAAGCAGCTTGTGTTACAATCAAAGAATATACTTTCAATCTAGAGGTAAATGATTTTAGTTATCAATCAGTCAGAATCTGTTATTAATGGACTATCTATCTCTAACTTCAACATCACTACGAAAGTTTGATAATAAGCATCAGTACTAGATAATGTTTCTACAACAACAGGTCTTGCGGAAGTCTTAGAACCTGCCATTGTGAGAAACAATACTTCTCTCAGACATATGAGTTATCCGAACCCTCTATCTAGCATCTCCTAGTTGCTTCACAGCAACTGAAATCAGTAAAAATGCTCAAGCACCTCCCTTTCCACAACAACCCAGCACTGCGGGGTGTGATCAGTATCTGAAGGCATGATCACTTGCAATGTATGGATTAGATCTCTGAAGCTTTACTAAGTTCCAAACTTTGTATACATCTTCTAGACTCAACTTTGACCCTGAACACTAAAAACTTGAGCTTTAAACAATGGTGGCTGAGCACTCCTTATCCGCAGAGGTAACACTATCAAATACTTAATACCTATTACTTATAGAAGTTATTGAAAAGTGAGAAGTCAAATAACTGTCACTGAATACCGACTCACTTATTATACTGACTCTGACATTGATCTACAACACTCCGACTTCCTTTCGGGAATATCGAGTTGTATAAGTAGATTTAACTCAGTACGATTTTAAGCGTCAAATTGATAAGATTAAATCGACAGAAAATATTTGATGAAGAGGCAAAAAAATGCCCATCTTTCCTACACACTGAAAGTGCTTTGGTTAGCACATCAACACACAAGTTATCAGTTGGACAGTACACTAGTCTTATTATTCTTTCCTGTTCTTTCTCCTCAGCAAATGTTTTATGTATAGAGATATGTTTTGTATGAGTATGATGAACAGGTCTATATAAAGTGGAAGAGCACCTACGTTGTCACACATCAACATTGTTGCAGCTTGTTGAACCTAGTTTACTCACCATACTTATAGACCAAATCAGTTGCTTAGTAGCTTGTGAAGAAGCCATAGTTTCAGCTTCTGTCTACCCAAGATGTCAACAAAACATTTCAGCTTCTGTTGGCCGCTCCCTCAACTAATAGCTCCACTTTTTAAAAATAATAATTTACCATTGGTAGATTTATTGTTATCCAAATCTTCATACCAACTAGCATTAAAGGCACCTTTCAGAGTAGGTAGAGTAATCAATTTTCTAATTTCTAAATACATACCAAGAGTGTTTTTCTTAGAACTCTCTTCAGACATCTCCAATACAGCTGGACAATTACTGTTCCTGGTTAGAACTCACAGTGACTGAACTATGTCTGGTGTTGTACACACCGTAGCAGAAAAGAGTGAACCTAATGCACTCTGGTATAGGAACTGCAAGTTTCAATAGTGTAATCTATTTCCTTCTTCAACCTGCAGCTATTTTTTAAGGGGGTAGAGACAGGTTTTGCATCCTCCATCCTGTACCTATGAAGAATCCCCTAAATGTACTTGATTGGCTCATCCATCTTTCCTTTGGGTTTCATCAATGTGGGTGGCTAGAAGAAACTTTACAGTACCAACTACTGTGAATTAAAAATGGAGCATAAAGAAGAGATTATGCTTTTCACATCTCTTACTCCTTTCCTCATCAACTTAAAGTGCTATGAAGAGTTCTTCATGCTCGTTGTATACACTTAAGAATGAGTGTGTTCTCTTGAAGCCTTGCATCCTCAAATAAGCATCAAGCTTCGAGGAGCTTTCTTTAGCCCAGAAAAGGCTTTCTTGAGTGAACAAACTTTTCAAGAATTGGAGTAGTCATATGATACATCCATCTATATCTCTTCCTCCAAATCTCCATTCAAAAATGTTGTTCTCACATCTAGTGGCTTGGTCTCCCCGTTTCTTTCAACGGCTAGAGTAACAACATTCTGATATAAACATACCTTGCCTCAAAGAGCAAAGTTTTCAGGGTAGTCTACATCCAGTTGTTGACTGCATACCTTAGGGACTAATCTTGCCTTGTATTTCAGAATCTCACCAGCAACTTCTCTCTTCACCTTGAACGTACATTTGGATCCAATAGTACTTTTTGATGGTGGAAGATCTACAGATCTTGATTTTGATTGCAAGCAAGCAAGGGCGAGATGAGTTGACAAATCTTTAGATATTCACAATCGACTCATGATGACAAGATTTTACAAAGACTTGGTGAAGTATAAGAAACAAGCTTTTTTGAGACGGAAGTAATATTTTTTTTTCCCCAATGCTGCATCAATGCCAAGTTATAAAGTAAAACATGGCTTATTTTTTGAAGCTGAAGTGACTCAACTAAGAAAATTGGCAAATAGTAAATGTGAGGATTTTGATGGTTTTTCTATTGAACTTTTCAAGTGGGAAGGAGATGCTATTGGGCATATTCTCGCTTAATTGTTAGAGTTTACTGCTATCTATGGTTATTCTTCATCTTGGTCTCTACGGAAGATTGTTCTTATTCACAAATTTGGTATCAAGGACTTGGTGACAAACTATCAGAGTATCATGATGAATAATATTCTTTCCAAGTTATTGGAAAATTGGTGTAATCAAAGTTGAGCACATGGGCTGAATCTTGTCATATGAGAGCACGGTTTCAAGCTGGTTTTTTTCCTACATTCAACATTATAGACCATATCTTGGTTTTGCAATTTTATGGGAGAAGTTCAAGGATAATGGAAAAGCTTTGTTTTGTGCGTTCATCAATTTCAAAAAAGCTTTTGACATAATAACTCGTGAGTTTTTATGGGAAAGATTGCAAACCATTGGAGTACCATCAGATTACTTAGTAGTTGTGGCCATATTATACCACTCTGTTTGGATCAAGATCAACAGTTTTCAAACCAAAAAGATTTTGAGTACCATTGGAGTGATTCAAGGTTGTAATCTCTCTAAAAACTCTATTTGGAGTTTTTATAGATGATATAGATAGGTGGTTTGAGTATTGTGAAAGTGAAGATGTCAAACTTGAACGCTTTGTCATCAAAGTTCTTTTGTATGCGGATGATGTCATATTACTAGCACGTGATGCCATTAGTTTACAAATACCCCTTGACACTTTGGCTAGCTTTTGTACTCAAAATCAAATGGAGGTAAATTTGAAGAAGCCAAATGTTATTCTTATGAGCACTAGATCCAAAGTTTCTTTCTTTTACAAAGTATTAAAGGTGAAACAAGTGAGGAGATACAAATTTTTAGGCATTGATTTCTCCCATAATTATAGTTGGTCACTTTGTGTGCAAAAGAGGATAGAAGCTAGTTTCAAAGCTGCTTATTCATTGCTAAATATATGTAGAGTAGCTTATCTAGTGTCTTGAAGTGTTAGTAAATTCAAAAGTTTAGTGTTTCTAGTTTTTCTATTTAAAACACAAGTGTGAGATTCTTGTTGTAAGAAAACAGTTCGGCAACATTTGGAGAGGATGCAAAAGATCTTCTTACAAGAAAAATTGGATGTGAGAAACTGAATTTCATATGCTATTCTTCTTGTGGAAACATGTTGTCTACCTCTTGAGGCTGAAGCTCTCTTCTTGACTATCACTTACGTCAGATGAGTGAGACTCTTGATGCTTCTTGACTTTTAGTTTTGAAGCTTTGCGTGCCACACGTTCCAATGGATGGTTTGCAAATGTGATGACTTGGTCTTTGAGGTGAAATGTGACGGAACTCGATTGGGTTTTGCAACCCATGATTCTTTGCGAGCGTATTAAGGAGTAATTTTTTAGCATTATTTGGAGCAAATGAAGCACTAAAATGGAGTGTTATCAACTTCATGTGAATCCTATGCCAGTTTATTGTAAGCAAGGAAAACTACTTGCGGAGGTCTCTACATCTTACGTCATATTATTGCTCGACATAGAACATGATCTCATCGTCTTGGGATTGAGGAAGTGCGTTGGTTGAACATTGATAGGAGTGAACGTATTTGTAGGCTATGTGATGGAAGAAAAGTTGAGTATAAAGAACATGTGTTTGTTACTTGTACTAGATAGATAGAGATTAAAGTGTGTCATAAGGTTGTTGTTGAAATTTTTTATTCTTTATTGCATCTTGAGCATTATGATTTAGGTTGTTTTATGAGGGATGTTATTAGTTTTTGTTCTAGTGCTCTGTGCACTAGATGGAGGGTTCTTTTAGTTCTTTCCTGGTTTGGAGTTTGATTGTTTGTATTGTGTTTTTTAGCCTTTTGATCATTTGGGTACAAAGTATTTGATCTATTTACCATTTACCATGTGCAATTTTTCTATAAAGATTCTTTCTCTTCAAGTATGGCATGTTGCCACATTTTCCAATCTGATCTTCTTGAAGTTTGGAGATATGATGAAGGCTTGTCATCTGCAAAGTCCAAGATGGATTCCTCAATGACAATATCATTCTATGGAGATAGATAAGTTGTTTATGAAGCAATCAAATTCTGAGATGAGAGTTTCAATCTATTTGATCTTCTATGAGAAATGTCTTCCTGTAATAAGAAATTCTAGATCTTGGTACTTGAATATTACGTCATGTCTAATTCTTTAATATCCCTATGGTGTAAACTTTTTTGGATGAGGCTCACTCTCTTCTCACAGATCAAGCTTCACTTTGTGTTGTTTTTGATAAAAAAAAAACAACACAAATAGTTCTCACCCCAAGAATAAAATACCATGATCATTTTCACATTCTATAAATTTCAACACCTTCTTCGTATTTTGAAACATATTACTCTCAATAATCATATTAGAGCTACATGCTGAGTCTAAATATAAATACCAACCACCGAATGTCAATTTCTAAGAGTTTTTTTTTCAACACTCATGTTGCTGAAATTACTCTCATCAAATTAACAAACTCCCTCCACCACATTAACTATATACTTCTGCTCCTCACTCTCTTGTGCAGAGGTCTCGCATTCCCCAGGTTTAAAAATTTGACTTAAAAGCATCTGATGCTTTTGATCATTATCTTGCCCTAAAACTCAAATGTACTCTTTCACCACACGAATAAAAAAATAGTGACTTTCTGGTTTTTCCATATGTAGCACTCTTTTGTCGATACTTCTTACATTTATCAGGAAAAATGTCACTTCCTTACTAACCTTTTCAATCCTAGTTGCAAAAGAAACTATTCGATTACAGGCATGATCCCATGATAATTATTCATGAGGAAGAGAATTAAGGAATAAAATGATGGACTCATACTTGGAAGATAAGCTAGCAAAGAGATGTGCAAAACTGAAATGATGAGGTATTATCACATCTTATTCTCGTATACCATTGAAACAAGAGTGCAATTTTGCCATGTGATTTGTGACATCAAAATCTTCATCATTGACCTTTGGGGCTGACATATCTGTCCACCTTAATAAAGGATATGCAAATAAATCAATTTTGCACACAGATTTTAGGTTGCACCACTTATCACATGCATCAGTAATATCTTCCACCATCTTCAGGTTGGCATTGTTGAGTATATCCTTCAGAATCCTCAAAGTGATAAGATGATTGTTCTGTAATATCTCATCATCAAAGCTCTTCTAATGGTGTCGTTCTCAAGAGGAGATCAACAACATTTCTAGAAGCCATAGATTTTCAGAATCTCTTCCATGTTTCTTGACTATCTTGTGTGGTTGAGTTTATCAAGCTTTTCACCTATATCAATATCCTTTATGGAATGTGAGACCAAAATCTTTTAAATATAACCATGATAGTTCACTACATTACGATTGGTCATTGATAATGTTGAAGTCCTAGAACCTGCCATTATGAGAAACAATACTACACACATAGGCATGTGAAAAGCAACAACAATAGTAGATCCAAACCCTCTATCTAGCCTCTCTCGCAACCTGCTTTTAGACGAACTGAAAATCAGACAAAATTCTCAGTCAACGTCCACTCCACAAAAACCCAACAGTGTGATCTTTATCTCAAAAATAATAAATGGCAAGGTATGATTTAGATCTCTACAGCTTTATCAAGTTACGAAGCCTATTTTATATTTTATAGTCTTGACTTTGAGCCTAGACACTAAGAAATTAAATTCTAAACAATGATGGATGAGGACTCCTTAGATGCAAAGGTAACACAATCGAAAATACTTACAATCGTAAATCAAATGCCATTGAAAAGTGAGAAGTCAAATACCGGTCAATTGATTTTAAAATTCTGACTCTGGTACCAATCTACAGCATCTTACATATGAGAATATTATTCTCATTTTGAATTCCATCTCATGCACTTTATACGTCAAGCTCGTTTGAGATCTTTATACTTTGCATGTTTATCTATGCCCAAACCCGCATTTGTTCTTTGAGATATTTCATTCCTCTCATAGATGTAGAAAAGATTAACTTGACTTTGAACTTTCATTTTACCTTGTCACTTTGTGTTCAAATGGTGCAAAGTTAGCACACATGCATGCTCTTTTGCAAATGATTTCCATATTCTTTGATCACTAAATTTGCACTCAACTCAGATAATGCAAAGCTTCAAAACCAGTTTTTTTACACCTTGTGACTTGAGGATTTTACTTACAACAATTGTTCTAGTTTTCAATGCTGTAACTTTTATTAAACACTTGTGGATAAATATATCAACGACTAACTACTTTATAAAAAAGATACATGTGTTTTCATATGTGAAAATCTATATCATAAGTTTGAAATAATTTTAGATTATAAAATTTCAATTGGAGTCCAAGTGGATGTTTTTTTCATAATCATAACTGTACAATAGAATTGAATAAATTTCAGTTTGAAGTTGAAAGGTCCTGAATTCCAAAAGTAGCTTATATAAACGAATGGATCTTTTTCATGCATGAATATACTTTACAGATCCGGGATTAAAGTTAGTTTATTTTGAATTGGAAAAAAATAATATTTCAATAATTTTCAATAAGAATACTGATAAGAACAATATGTTTTGGCAGCGGCGGTTCCAATTCACTTCTGAAAGACTGAGTAGTGAATCTTGTTAAAATGAAGGGAACTCTGGTCAAAAGAAGAGACTACGCTTATCTTCCACGACCTTCCGTTACTTGTGCATAGTTGTACGACGAGAAGATCGAGCGTCTGATGGCTGAAATATTTAGAGAAGATCAAGAGCTGGATCAAATCTCCACAGCATTCGACATTGAAACATCTCAAAAGGTTTGTCTGTAAGAAGATATCGAAGCACTGTTGTAGATCCAGACTTTCCTAATAATTTTTTGGTTTCAGAGAAAGCAGACAAACATTGTCATACCGATGGAGAAAATGCAACTCATTACGGATGCATTCCACCTGTAAACGTCCTTGTTCGTTAAAGAGATCCACCTCAACCTCCGACGAGATTGTCGAAACCAACTCAGGAAGCCTTGGTCTTCAAAACTCCATGTTGAACAGTCCTATTCTCCTCAGGAGCCGACATGTTTGCACCTTTTACAACAGTACATTCAATGTTGTCCATCGCCAGCTCTTCTGAATTCGACTAGAAACGTGTTCACTGCAGTTTGAGACAGCTTCTAAATGAGCATGTTCCAACTATACAGATCAGGATTCAGGACAACCAAAATCTCCTGTTTCTGCCTCGTGTTGGACATGATCTGTAGAGATCACTAGTTCTTTTTAGGCTGCATTCAGTTCATCAACATATGATTAGTTTTAAAGAGCAATTTGTATTATGCTGTATGTTACTCAGGAGATTTCTGCATTTTGATATGAATGCAATTGGTATCAGATGAGATTGATACGTGTCTGTACTTCTTGTCGCAGGGAACATCATGTATGATTGGCTTTCCGTTGTTAGCAGCTGGCCATGGTCATTATCGTGATTTCATCGCACGATACATAAGTCATGTGTGAAACAATCAAAAGGGAGGTCGGGCTGAGATGAAGAAAAAATAATCATAGTATATCGGACATGGTAGGAGATTTGCTCTTGCGTTTCATGCAGATATTTAACTACTAATAGATTATAATGTAGATAACCAACGTCATGGTTCTTCATGGTACTTTAAGTTTCGTGACGTCATGAGCAGCTAGGGGCGAAGAAGCTTACTCTAGAAACAATCCTATCACGTACTCTTTCCAGAGTCGGAATAGGTAATCTGGTACGGCCATCGATGAATCTATTCTTTGACAAGCTCAAGCAAACTAGATCATTCTTCTGGTACACTGAATGTACGACCTGGAGCATCGGAGTTCTCAATGCTTCTGAGCTAACAAGTTACTCCTTATGATGAAATTGAAATGAATAATATTTGGAGTGATTTTTTCATGACGTGTTTGGGAATTCTGCCCCGCCGAATTATAACCTTCCGTACTTGCGAGTTTCGTCATTGCCAGCCTTATTAGCATAGATGGATGGTTTCTTCTAGAGATTTCCACTGGAATGAACGATCACGTCTTTTGCTCGTGCAATGCTTCACCTGTTCACCCCTTGTATTCATAATTGTCTTTTAAGCGTTGGATCGTTTTGACAAATTGTTGACGGTGGAAGAAACAGTCCAAGAAAGTCCCTGCAAGACTCAAGTTCAAGACAGGTTGACAGAATAAATTGTATGTGGGCCTCGACACGACATATCTAACAGGTCATTAAAGTAGATGATCATGAAACTAACTGTTGCGTCTACGATCGTGACTACTTCATGAAGCCTACTGTACCAACAGGTAGTTCATGGGCAGTTAGTGAAAATTTGATCACTGGATCTGTTGAATCCCAAGCCTATTCACACGATCCACACAAATTTGATCACTAGATCTGTTGAATCCCAAGCCTATTCACACGATCCACACAAATTTGATCACCTGATCTGTTGAATCCCAGGCCTATTCACACGATTCACACAAATTTGATCACTGGATCTGTTGAATCTGTTGAATCCCAAGCCTCGTCTCACAATCCACACTTGTATGCATGACACCCATTTGGGCTGCTTGATTGCATAATCTATTCACAAGATACAGAAATGCAGAGAGTAAGTTCATTGTGAAGCCTAAAAAATCTTTGCTGCCTAATGCACACTATTTCCAGCTTCTTCTCGCCTACTAAAAGGTAACCACTTGGCATTAGCGTGTTCGAAACTCAAGACAGGTTGATGAGTGTCAGATGGTCGAGTTACCGTTGTAACACGAGGTACACCTGTTGAATAGTTCGGTCATATTCTTTATCTATCTGGATATATTACAAAGAGCTACAAGCAGCTACAATTGCAGATGCTGCTACAAGAAGTTCTGTCAACTCGAATTCGAATCAGATGTCAAAATCCTTGAGTCATGAAGGGTACCTAGTTCAGGCATAGCTCAGAAACTCAGGCAATGTCTTTAAGAACCATGAACATTCCAAATTCCTGGAAGAGATGATTTCATCCGATATGTCGTTCCAATGGTACTTTGACCGTGACTGCACATAAATATTTGTTTATTATAGTTCAATCGCTTGATTGGATACAGCACTTGAGAACTTCGGAGACGGATGTAACTGATCTTATCCATGCCCATCCAATTCTGTAGACTGTTCCATGTGTACTACTGTATTCGCATGATCTTCGACGTTTTGAACCTCGCGAGAGAATGCCGACTTTTGCTGGTGCTTGCTGTCAGGCTGAGCTGGCATAGCACGTAAACTGAATCATTGACTGAAGTATGTGGGTTCTGTAAGAACTCTTTCTGAAGCCATTATACCTATAGCTTACAAACGAATAATAAAGATCGAACCTTCATTAATTGCTCATGAAGAGGACGAGGATTCTGAATAGCACATCTTTAATGGGGCTGTGAAACCGGAATTTAATACTCCTACTGACAGTTCCTTGTAGTGAGTACATCGTAATTTGAGTTCTTGCCTTGAAAGTACCAATGAAGGACTAAAGTTCGTGAGTCTAACTCATTCGAATTGATTTGCGTTACATATCTTTTAAATAGGATAAGAATGTGGTATACAAATTTTGCAGAACTTGTTTTTATTTAGATCACTTAGCTCGACTCCAAGTTTTGGAGATCAATCTCAGTACTACAGCTTGGTGCATACGCCTACAAAAAATTGCACATGACCCGTCTTTGCACTTTGTCTATGGCAATCATTTGGTTTCTGTATCGAGCATCCTGGAAATGAAATTCTTGAATAACTCAGACTCATTTGGTTTCAACTTTCATTTCTTCATAATGTTCCAATCTAGAGGGTTTTGTATCTAGCTTGTAAGCAAAAATTGTTTGGAAGAATGCCATCTGCTATGAACGAAAGTGAGAATGAATGTTCACAGCAGTTCTACATGCCTCTAGCAGCAAACCATAGCACAAAACGCAGATTGTCTAACAAGTCTAATTTTTCTTCCGGTGATTGTAACATACTGAACAAGGGTCTTGACACTTTCATCAAGCCTTCTGACACTTTGGGTCCCACGAGCTTGATCTATTTACCATTACCATAACTTCATAAATGAAAGTATCAAGACGCAGATCATTACGTGAATGTCTTGACATGCAGTGCTTTAACTCAATCTGAATGCTGTGGTTATCTGATATCGCTGTTTGAATCTACGTAGCTGTACCAGACACCAAGGAATGGTACCAGATGACAACCTGCACCGAAAATGGCCGAAAGAAATATGCCCGTCCATGCCTTAACGCTAGCTTTATCTTTTGTGGATAGATAGGACAATTCAAGTTTTCCAGTTCTCTAAATTTGTGTCAGATATTGCATGCTTTTCAGAACCAAGCAGGCAGTGCTTTCCCCCTCCCTGGGCATGCGTCTGTTGATGCTCGCCGTACTCAGTTCACTTTACTCTCTACCTTATCTTTATTCTGTGGCTCTTCGGTCTCTTTTTCTTGACCTTTTTGCAGGTCAAGAAGATGACTCTTCTCTTTTACTCATCCACAGACTGTGGGAACACATCTAAGGAACATTCTTGCATCAAATAGTGCTGTGATGGTTCTCATGAATGAAATTTGAGATCATTTGAATGCAGAGCTGTACATTTTCATATCGACTTTTCCATACTCTAATCCCTTTTCATACTTTGTTGAAGTCCATTGCTATTATTCGTTGAGTAACCTAAGTAAGTTGGATGGGCAAGGATGACAAAATACTTTTTTAATAAATTTCTCCAGTTCATGAGTTCAAATATAACTTTTGACTGATGGTGAGAATGTTGGCAATTACTTTTGTAAAATTTGATTGAAAAGAACTTGAACACTTTATCTTTCCACAATCCATGGATACCAAATTTTGAGATAAGGAAAAGTGTTTTAATTCTCTTCAGTGAAGTCTTACACAAGTAATGATTGTCAACATCACATCACTCAAAAGCTATAATTCAAACCATCTCAAACTATGGAGAAATGTCTTAAAAAATGAATCTTTTAATCAATGTCGATCGTTGAGTATGAAATTATTATTTTTTAATAATTTCTTCAAAGTCTAAAATGTGCTCAATTTTAATTTTTGACAGAAGTTGAGAATGTTGGCAAGTACTATTTTTGTAAGATTTCATTGAAAAGAACTTGAACACTTTTCCTTTCCTTGGATGTATGTAAACCAAGTTTTGAGATAAGTAACCTAAGTAAATTGGATCGGCAATGAAAGAAATTTCTCCACGGTCTGAGAAGGGTTCAATTATAATTGTTGACTGATGTTGACAAGGAAACGGAGAGAAACTTGAACACTTTTAATTCACGGAGTGTATGCATGCAAACCAAGTCTTGAGAATTCAGCGGCGTCGTTCAGTTCTCAAGGAAATTATTTCCCAGGTTCTTGTTCGGTGGTCTAGCGGCATGACAGCACAAGGAGATTCTGTCAACTGATTCAGACAAGAAGAAGATGCGCATTACTGCACAATTTTATCTGCAAAGATACTTCTATGTCCACAGCAAAATAAATGAATGTCCAAACAGAGGAGAATGATGCCATACGAATTTACCGTTTTCAAAATACTTATCAATATCATGGGCATCAAAATTTGATGGACGTAGTTAGGCTGTGCAACATCCCGCAGCGTCTTCAATGACGTTTGCCTAACTTACTATCCAAGTGACTGGAGTCACCCCACTCTTCTAGAAGTCAGATTTCTGATTACTGTAGACTCACTAAAGCGCTAATATTTATCTAATTACACCACAAAGATTAATTTCTGTAGACTAAAGGGTATCACGCTACTCGCTTCTTCTAAATAATGAAGATCCTTAATTACAGTCTTGTCCAATCAAGTCCATCTTTGGTGCTTTTGAAAATTGTTACAAATGAAAAACTTAGATGAAGATGGGATGGTAAATAGACAAGACCGTGGTACCCAAAGAGTCAAAAGTCTAAAAAACATAATACAAACAATCCAATTCCAAACTAGGAGAAAACCAGAAAAAATCCCTAACTAGTGCCTAGAGCATTAGAACAATAACTAATAACATCCCTCATATAACAACCTAAATCATAAGGCTCAAGTTGTTGTAAAGTATAAAAATTTTCAACAAAAACTTTATGACCCACTCTAATTCTTATATATCTAGTACAAGTAACAAACACATGCTCTTCATACTCAACTTTTATCCCATCACATAGCTTACAAATACGTTCACTTTTATCAATGTTCAACCAACGGTTACTCAAGTCCAAGACTATGAGATCTTGTTTTATGCCGAGCAATTATATGAAGTAAAGATGTAGAGATCTCGGCAAGTAGGTATACTTTTTCTCAATAAACAAGCATAGGATTAACATGAAATTGATAAAACTTCATTTTATTGTCTCGTTTGCTTCATATAATGTTGAAAAATTGCTCTTTAATAAGTTCGCGAAGGAACATAGGTTGCAAATCCCAATCGAGTTTCGTCACATTCCACCTCAAAGACCAAGTTATCACATCTGCAAATCATTCTTTGGAACATGTGGCACACAAAGCTTGAAGAGAAAGCCCAGAAGCAATAAAGTATCTCACTCTTTTGATGTAAATGATAGTTAAGAAGAAAGCTTCATACTCAAAAGATAGACAACATGTTTGCACAAGAAGAATAGCATATGAATTTTAGATTCTCACACCCAACTCTTCTTGTAAGAATATCTTTTGCACCCTCTACAAACGCCGACAACCTGGGTTTTACAACCAGATCCACACTTTTGTTCCATATAAAATAACCGAAAACACTAAGCTTCTGAATAAAAATGTTCTAAGAATTCAACACACTAGATGAGCTCCTCTACTCTACTAGGGTATTCTATACTCGTGTTCTTGCAGATTCGACACCATAGAAAGTTTTATTTTTCTGAAATTATTATATTGTTCCATCGTATTGAGATCTTTTGGCATGTGATGGATACATTTATACCAGATACAATAATACTCACAATATCACTTTATCTATGGAGTTATCTATTCAGGTACATTTTGTACCTGAATCTTACATCAGATTATACATTTAGCGCGGATTTGAGATCTGATTAAGACATACAAATTAATCTGATTTAGATATACATTTCACGTATCAATGTACATCTGTATAAGAAAATTAGTGCCTGGAAATTTACGAATCCATGGTAGAGCAAGAATCCACAAGCTTGCATCGTTTTCAAAGTAAGAGGAAAAATGTACATTATAGTGTAAGATATGGCAGAATCAACTGAATGACTGCAGAGTTAGCTAGAACTACTGGTTTATTAGAGACCTTTGATTCTCTCAATGTTGAAATATATAAAAAATTCATGATGTATGTTATATCATGCCATAAAAATTGTAAGGGGTATAAAATTTTATACATATCCCTGTCGATCATCTAATTATTAGGTTAATATGCAATAAAATTTTATATCCCTTACGTTCATCTAATGATTAGGTTAAAATGCAATAAAATTTCAGAAAAGTAGCAAAGGTGCAAAAAGTTCCCAAGTGAAAAAATATTTAGGTATCGTGGTCTTCATCATCAGCCGTAAAATTTTGACTGCGTTCTATAAAGATTCCATTCACGAAACAAAGAAGTAGAGGAACATATTTTTAAGAGAAAATGTAAGAAAAAACCACAAAAAGTACTTTATAAGGAGTTACTTTAGTATTTGGAGAATGTATGTGCATCAAGGACTATAAATGTTTTCACGTCTGATGACAAGGAATATGCTACTATATGTCTCGGACGGAGATTCGGGATCTAATTTACATGAACTCATATGTTGGAAGTCAATCGATAGGTTCAGTTTCAGGGTAATCAAATTAAAACTTCAGATCAGCATGAAACACAAAGTCTGTGAAATCTAAGAAGTTTCTTTTAGTGAAATGATAGGAACCTGCATAGGAGAGAGACTCAATCGAAAATTTCATATCAAAATGTATTATGCTGAAATCAGAGTGAAAGTAAAAGATTGATGATTATTCGCGTTGGAGCTAACTACAGAAACAACTCATGAAAAATTCTGCTGAAAAGAGTGAAGCCAGCGATGCAAGCCTAGGTCTCATTAGAGGTCTAGACTAATTCGACTTGCAGAATCTTAATGCGAATGAATATTCTGTGTGTCTTTGACTTTTCCCTTACATACTTCAAAGCATCATCCGGATTATGTTAATAATCTGTGTGTCTTTGACTTTTCCCTTACATACTTCAAAGCATCATCCAGATTATGTTAAGGGAGTTTGGGGGAATCACGTGGATCATTACCAATACAGTGAGATAGGCGTGAGCTACAAATAAGGTCCATGTTGTTAGAAAGAATATCTGACATGTAAGGTTAAAGAGTGGTGACTAGAAAGATCCATTGTGTAATGATACTACTTGGCTGCACTTAGCTTATATACATATTCTAGATAAAACCTTTTAGTACTTGAATTAGAAGTAGAGATTCTGAAGTTGATTTCATAACCTCGTCCCAACTTTCTAGTTTCTCTTCGAACCTTTGGAAAAAAAAACACCGAGTGGAAGCATAAGACATAATAAGGTTACAGCTACGTTCGGGGGTTCAGAATATCTCAAATTTTTATTTTTTTTTTAATAAATAAAAAATAGTTGACCTTCTTAATGCTTTAGATATTTTATATTTGACTGCTGGTCGTATCCTTCAGAAGGCATAATCCAGCGAAGACATGTCCAATTTTTCGCAGCCATTGCCACCTGCGCCTTGACTAAATGCAAGGTGAAGTATCAGTCAAAGTTGTATAATCTAAGAGCCTCGTCGGAAGGGAAGCTAGATCTCTAAATCGATTAATCTTTATTTACAAGTGAAAAGTCGACCTTTGGACCTCATCTTCAAGTGGTCGAATTAGAAGTATTCGTGCGTGAGAACCTCAAAATTCATCCGAACTTCATCCGAAGCTGCAGCAGCTCATGCTCGAAGATCTTCCTCGAAACACTCCAGCTCTCAATGTTCGAGTTACCTGGGAAGAATTGTACTGACATGTCCTCGAGCACTTGTCTTGGTGTAGTAGGCGTCATAACTGCATCGAGCATCGAGCAGCCATCTGTCTGCAGACGACATGCTTGCTTGCTTGCTTGCAGCCAGAACTATCTGATTCGAGCACGGACAAACATCAACAGTGAGATAGCATCCGTGTCCACCGGGTTACGCATCGTTCACACAATCCACGTCGGAGCTTCGGAGCTCATCAGAGGCTGCCGTTCGTTTCACATGCGTAAATATCCTGAGCCTGTTTCTCCGTAAAGCGTGGGGCCGATCAGCAGATGTCTATGCAGAGACGCTGCATCTTCATGCCGAATCATGAGAAAAATTCGATTCCGCATTTAAGTCATGGTCAATCCAAAAGACATCGGTTTGTTTCGGTGTTTACTGTTCGTGACTGAAGTTCTCGATGCCACTGCCCCAGTACTACCTGGAATCAGGTTCACTCTGTTGCATATCGAGAAGTCACCGCTGAAATTAGCATATCTGGTCTCCATCGCTTCGGTTTATTCGAATCGATCCATGGCATAGCGTGCGCAGATGAAGTCAAGACCCGATTTTGCAAGGTTAGTAAGTTTGCTGTATACCGAGCAGTGTCGACTGGTGCGAAGGTTTCTGGTGTCAATTCTGCCCTTTCGTTGTATCAGTCGATGATAAAGCGTGTGCGAGTTCAGTTAGGGTGTGGTCCGAGCCGGATGATGCGCAGAGCTAGGGGTATCAGAGCTCAGGGAACAATCATGTGCCACATTCAGGTTCAACTGAGTCCATATTGGCAATTTGAGCGAGGAGACTTGGCAGTCATTACGACGGAGGAATGTCCCGATTCTTTCGAGTATCTATGTATAATACGAGACCTGGTCCCTATGGAAGAAAGCATCGAAGCCATCACCGTGGATTCGTATCATGAGAAGAGCATAATTATTAACTGAAACTTCCAAATTGCAGCAATTCATGGCGAGAAGTGAGGACAGTCGATCTCATGCAGACCGTCAAAAGACACGGGAGCTCACTGAAAATGCTCATGAGTATCTCATGGCTCTTATTACGAGTAATTTCATATAGAGAGACAGCAACAGCAAGAGCCTGTCCCCGTGGGTTCAGTTAGTGAATCAGTTGGACTTATTCAGCTCATTAGCTCGTGTACCGGGAAAAATTTCAATTGCAGAGGCAGACACAAGCTTCGCCAGTAGCGTCTTCACGACAGCTAGCAACACGATTACGAGATTAAAAGCGCCGATCGACTTCTCTCTCCCTCCCAGGACTGAGAGCTACAGATCCGAAGACAGTGGCTCAAGAACAAGACTCTTTCATTGCAAAGAAATTACAGTACGTAGTGAAGAGGAAACCCATCCACATCCTGTCACGGTCCTCATGCTCGACATATCCGATTGAAGACTACCTGCAGTCGAATTCAGCAGACGCTGGCCAGTTCTGAATCGATGCGATAACCTGATTTGTAGTGTCCAGCATTCTCGCTAGTGAGGTGGGATATGGATTTCCATTTTCGAGCGGGATTTAATGCGCCTACTAATAACTTACGATGTATAAGCCGGGCATGAACTTGGGGTCGACGTGCATTCGAGCTTTGATGGGCCTGACAAAATGGCGCAGCTTCGAGCAGAGAGCCGACGCCTTGTCCAGGGCCTGCTGCGACAGGGAGTCGCAGCAGGCGAGGTCCAGCGTCTGCAGGCGCTCGCAGCAGCTGTGGGCGAGCAGGAGCAGCCCGGAGTCCGTCAGACTCGACATCCTCCGCATGTGCAAGTCTTGCAAGCTCACCATGTGGGCGGCGATGGCCGCCGCCTCCTCGTCGCCGCGCGGCGCAACGACGTGGTCGTAGTGCAGGATGTCGGTCATGTTGCGCGTGAAGCTCACGAGCGATGGGCAATTCAGACCGAAGGCCCGGATTGAGGCCGCCGAGACGCTGTAACACTCGCTCAGATCGAGCCTCTCGAGCTTTCTGCAGCGCCTGGCGAGATTTGTCGCCGATTCATCGCCCACCATGAAGCTATGGTGAATCGAGAGCTCCTGCAGCAGCGGGCACTTGGCCGCGATGTAATCGACGATTTCGTTGGTGCAGTAGCCAGTCCTCAGGCGCTTGAGCTGGCCCCTGCTGCGATCCACCACCGCGAGCACGGCCGCCTTCATGTCGACCTCGGATTCCCAGTCGCAGTACTCGTCGGCCTTGCTCGCCATCCACGGCCCCATGTCCACGTTCCTCCACGCCGTGGGGCTCAGCGCTGCCTCTCTCCAGTCCTTGCAGACCAGCGGCACCGCCCGCATCCTGTCCTCCAAGGGCAGCCGATCGAACACCTCCGCCAGCGCTTCCCCCGTCAATCCTGCCCACGGCCCTTCCTCGGGCACCACCACCACCAATTCGTCGTCGTGCCCCCGCCGTGGACAGCTTTCCATCGCCATCGCTGGAGGCCTCGTCTGCAGCAGCAGCTCTGCAGCCCGAATGTCAGCGGCATTCGGTGCCTCCTCGGTGCTGCGCTTCTTTCCTCCGGCCTCTCCTCCTCCTCCTCCTCCTCCTCTGGGCCTCATGAACCAGAGCAATTTCGAGACGGCGAAAACCTTCATGTCGCCCGGCCAGGAATTCCTCCAGAATTCCTCTCAAATCACTCCTCGCGCTCGAACATCCGATCCGCTGCAGCAACTACTTCGGCCTACCTGCAGCCTCGTAATTCACCAATTCACCCGATCGCAGCTCGATGCACCAATTCCAGACACAAGCACATTCTGAATTTTGGGGCCAGCTCCCATCTCACTGCAAGCCTTGCAGGGGGAGCGACCGATTCAACGTGATCGATTCTAGTCTATCATCTACCGAGAGAGAGAGAGAAAGAAGCCATCGCTCGCTCCCCCGCAGTACTTGTAATCTAGATCGCCAACATTTAAAAACTCGTGGAGCCACCCGGCACACTGATCATTCTGCTCGTAAGCGAGTCGTGCGGCTCCGCTTCCTAGTCCAGCGGTTCCATTTCATTCAGCGCCTGGTTCTAGCACTCTCGAAGTGAGGCAGCCTGTTTTATTGGCCTCTTTGAGGTCAAGGGTCGAAGAAGAAGCTGCTGCTGCTGTGAGGCAGGCCAGTCCCAGGGGGGCGCGTTACGTCAAAATGTCCTGCTGCTTGGCCCTACACTGTTCAGGCTTTGATTTACTCGATCGATCGATCCGAGCCGCGACGTGAATCTTATCTGACTTTCCTCTCCTCTCCTCGCCTCAATGACTGCCAGATCCGATTTCGTTTGCCATTCTGATTCGGTGCAAACCGTATCTCATTCATTCCGTGCCAAATGTCAGCGACCAAGCGCTGATCTGGAGGGGTTGACTCGCGATCCTCCCACTTTTGGCGTGGTCTCTCTCCCTCAAGTTGCCTCAATTTGCGACTCGATGGGATCTCATCTCTTTTATTAGTTGAAGCGCGAAGCGAGTCGTAAGGGCTCAAGATTGATTCCCTTTGCAAGTCATCTTGTAATTTTGGATGTCCGAAGCTACCATTATTGTTCCTTACCCTTTCGGAGGTCACTACCATAAATCTCTTGGGTTACCATGCTCTAGATTATCTGGTGTCAAATGATTTCATTTCATTTGTCCCTCAGGTTGTAAGTATGCTCTGCCCACGGTTCACCCATGTTTTATTTGGTGGGGTCTTCCATCCTTGGCTCCCCCGTTCTTCAAGTTTGGTCTCTCTACGATAAGGGACGACCCCTTCTTCCAGTAGAGCACATTCGAAGTGATTATGCACAACTTATGGGTAGAGGTAATGTTGCTTAAATGAAATGTAGCTCTAGACCACATTGATTGATTGATTCATTTTCCGTGGACGGGCTTTTGATTTGTGTTTCCTTATCGTTGCATTTATGGTCTTCAATCTCAAAGTTCTTTCTTTGGTTGGATATTATTGATTAGATATTGTAACGACTGAACTTGTGAAGATTGAAACAATAAAAACAACACAAAAGGCAAATTCTTTCCATCACTGAAATTTTGTTCGAGAAAGTTTGTGAATGGAATCTTAATTACCACTGTAAGTACATTTGAACAATTAAACATGGTTGTGGTGTACTTTCTGGAATGTTTTAATATATACTTCACTGTTTTGGATTTTTGGGGAAGTAAAAACCATCTTTGTCTCATTAAGGGAACTGTGCGCCGCACTATTATGACTGTCCCTCGATGGTGTAGGTCTAGAACTGTGTGCAAATGAGCGGAGAACCCACCATCGCTCAACAAGTCCACCTTCCAGTATGTCACCGCATTTGGATTCTTAGCCACGCATGTGAGATTGTCTGCTCACGGGTTACATCGACCACCCAGACATCACCGAAACAACACCAGCTAATTTTAGACCCGCGGTCTAACTCCAGACTCTGATCCAGCACAACGAGCTGGCCGCTGTGAATTGGATACAGTCCTATGTTGTTGCGCACAGTGGGAAGGAGGTGTGCCGGTAACCTTCCGAGCAAAAGTCTGTTACAGTCAACGTGGTTCAACATCAATTGCATTATGTCAGTCAGTGCTCAAGCTTAGAGTCAGCTTAGAGTTGTGGTGAATCAGTAAGTACCTAGACACTTGGGGATTTTCCACGTGCCACTGTCACATTACTGGCGAGGTCAATCAGGTGTGTTACAGACAAGTGAACACGAACACCTACTTGCAAAATTTTCAAAGTCAAGGCTGGTTCCGGGTCTAGTCAAGACGCGGGATGGAAACGAAAAGAAGAACGCGCCAGTCGATGGGACGAGGTGTAAATGCTTGTTGGGCCGGAGCTTGGTCGTCCGTTCGTTCTCATTCTCTAGAGTGGTGGACTACGGCCTCCGTAGATTTGATACTATTCTGGCTAAGCAATTGAGGAACCAAATTTCCTCCGCTCATCTCAGGAGACAGACATGACATTAATTAGTGAGATTTGGCGGTGTGACTTGGCACGAGCCGCTTTTGGTCAAACATCGTTCACGTCATCATCGTTTACGTCATCGTGGTCGCTCGTCGAAGATTTCGTCATCGGGCTTCAACAAAAAAAAGGTAACAGGAATCAGTTTGCAGCTTGCTTTCAGTTGACTTCTTCTATTTATCGGTTATTGGTGGGGATGACGTCTTTGGGCGCATCCAAACTGGCATGGAAAGGCTTGTCTTGTGTTCTTTCGAGATTTTTTTTAAACATATGGAGGGGGGGACGAATTTGAAAGGCCATCTGAACACAAAAGAACCTTTGCCTCAGTTTGAGGGCATCAATTGTGCGCTTCTGGATTCGAACGTGATATGCATACACAGGCGAGCGGAACAGAGAAGGGTTAGGGAACTATATCGTGAGAGTTAATTTTACTACACTGAGAGTCATCCGAGAATTTATACTCGAGGAATTATCAACTAGATTCATAGAGTGGCGAACACTTTCAAACGAATATTCTGAGGCATGCTGAGGTGTGTCCATTTTTTAGGTAGTTCGACTGGAAATCGTATGGGCTCCAATAGCCTCGAGTTTCTGTAGGAATATAACTTTCATATCATTATATTATCGGTATAGTTTGTATTTATTGAATAAAATTGATATCTTACGTAGTACAGGTGTCTTACAACGTGTCCGGTGGTGCGCAGAGTCTTGACTAGATTGATTGCAAACCCATCACATTCATACATATGAGCACTGTCAAACGACCATCCTGCACCGCATGTTCAGCTCGCCGTTAATTTCACAATCGAAGATCCACCTTTGAAATACCTACCAATGCATAAGAGTGCGCAAGTTCAGGGCAACATAATCAGAAGATTGATGACCGGCACAGTTTAGAAGCATAATTAAGCATCTTGTCTAAACTCCGCATATAAGACAGAGAAAGGATGTAAATAATGGAAAGATACATAGCGGATAAAACGTATATAAGAGATCCACTGTTTTTGTTTTGCCTTGATATGAATATTTTGGTAGACAAGTCATTGCGTTCACATTTCTTACACTGGTGACTCTTCTCATGTTGGTGCTGATTTTGAGAGATCCAAGATGAACATGCACTTCTTCCTAGTTTCTTCAATGCTCTTACACCCCATGTCTTTTGCAAGACATGGGGTAGGTGTAAGATTCCGATGATCACAATCATCATGTTAAGAATGCCACAGCAATGGTTATGGCCGGTGCCCAGGATCCAAGAAAATAACTGGCACAAAAAGTATTATATGTTCGGAAAGCACATCCACTAGCGATGTCTCTGTGTTCGGAGACATTGCGGGTGGTGCGTGAGGACTTGACATCAAAGATAGTTTTCATCGGCGCGTTAATCACCAGATCCGTGATGCATTTATGCACACGAATCCTGGTTCTCTGCATGTCAAGTTTCACCTTCGACTCTGTGGTTTAGCTAAATGTACCACAATCAAAGTGATGAACAACAACCTGGGCTGATGTAAGACTAGAATAGTGATCTTGTGCAATCAGTAACCCGAGCAGCTGCCTCTGCAGACGAGGAGGACATTCTGGTCCAACTTTTCATGCGAATTCTTTCTCCAAAGCCGTGATGATGTGGGATAGCCAACTTGCGTTGATGGAAGTTAATACTTTGAAACTGAGTATCAGTGTCATGGGAAGACATGAAAGCATGTGCTATGTGGTATCAATCGAGCTGCAACCGGAAATGATTGTGCTCCATATGTGTAGACATTCGATAAATGTTCTACGCATTCCGCAATCAAAGGAGTTTGGCGAATCACACCACGGTAAAACCACTCAGGAGTGAAGTTGGAAGAGAGTTCCCTGCTGAAAAGGGAGATGAAATTCCTCTGTTTTCTTTCAAGAAATCTTTAATCTCATCCCCAAGTGCATCTCCAGGTAGCGGCTGGTTTTACATAATCAATGTCAAGGTTTTATGGGCAAGCACGGCATTACCAGATGATAGAATGTCATATAGGGGTACATGCATGCAGAGATCCGCAACTGAAATCGTCACTGCTGCTTACGATGGTTGAGCAAATCTTTTTCCTGAGATGACGCTGGCTGATGGGCATTCGTGCTCTGCAGATGTTCTCGTGTTGCCAAGAAGTCGGAAGAGATTTTTCTGGCACATATGAGATGGGAATTAAGCACGTGTTGTACCAACAGTTGAGGCCGAACTTGTTAACTCTCTGTAAAGGAGCACCGACATTTATAGACAGATTTGTTGAATCTGTAGGAACCATTGGAAGAACCTATCCTGCTATTTCAAATCTAGCAAGCACCGTCCAGCAAGAATGTCTCCAAAATTCCCCGCCGTGCGCCCGCAAGGAATTAAGATAATATAAGAAAGGACAAGCAGGGCCCATTATATGATAAAAATTCTGATGATAGCAGCCCCTACTCTCTTTCTTAACAACTATAACACACGGGTGACAGACGAGGTTTCATATTTGTGGGCCTCGCACGTGGTAGGTCACTGGCCTGTGTGTAGGGGAAACCAACCAGGCCGTCCTTTAGCAGTACTCTGTACTGTATGTAGACTTCAGGGGGTTCAGGCCAATTTGCTGTACAGTTTCTTCGAGCATACGCTTACATCGCTTCAAACTATCGTAACAGAAGGTAAAGCAGCTGTGAGGAAGAGCTAATCAGCCATTCTTTGAGGAAAATCTTCTTGGTGTGCTCACTCACTAACTTAACATATGTTCAGTGAAAAATCTTTGATGCATCTTATTGACACCGAGGTGACAATTATCTCGAATATCTCCTGTGTCTGAACGACCATTTTCCTATACGAGGTTTATTTTTACTCTAATGTATATTTTCTTGAATCAAGGCAACTTCGGAAGGTGGGTGTAAATGAGTTGGTACCGTTGCTTCAAAATGTGTTCACCATCAGAATTAATGATGTTAACTTAGTGAGCCCCTAATCAAGCCATCTTGTTGACCTCTTTGGTCTGTATCATTGTCTTGCCTATTCTGCTCTGATGTAAACTGTAATCTGTGCTAGATGAGTTGTTGGGTTCTCTTTAGGCTTGCTGTAAAGTGTTCTAACCTATTTGATTTTTGTCTAGCCAGCCACAGGAACCAAAAGATACGTACATTATAATAGTTCCACTACCTTGAGTGTCCCTTAAATTGTTGAGGCAACCTCTGGCCTG